AAGAGACGGCCCTTTTTCTTGCTCGGTGCGTGGTTGGCGCTGGTCATGAAGCTTCCCATGGTAGATTTCTTCCCAGTTATGGGTTCTTCGACTCCAGTTTCGGCTTCTTTCTGTAGTTTCACACACATGGTCGCACAGGCTTCGATAACACCGTCCTGCGCTGGGAATGCATACTTGGGATTTAGATAAGTTGTATCGAGGTATACCAAATCTATTTTCTGGCCCTTTAGTCCCTCTTTCCCGGGTATTAGGAGCGGGTGTCGTAAGTGTTCCGGGCGTGCCCGGAAGTCACCGCAATGTAGTATTCGTTTCCCTCCCTTCTTCGTCTCTTCAAATAAAAATAGCATACTCCCCGGACAATGATTCGCATCTAATCCTCTAACTCTTATTCCTTCTACTCCAAAATCTGTCCACTCCTCCCACGGAAGCTCGCGCACGTATTTCGGGTCCACGCCCAGCTTACTCCTTACTAGATTTGCCGTGACACGAGAACAGTAGATAGGTCCGTGAGACCACTTTGAGCTAAGTCCAATATAATGATCGCTATGAAAATGAGAAAGAAAGTAAGCCTGGCAGCCGGGAACTGCGCCGTAGCGGAAAGCATCAACAGTGACCGGCCCGTTGAAAAGAATTTTATAAAATGGGCATGTGCGTTCTGCAGCCTTCTTGCCTCGAGAATCTACCTCTGCTTTTGCAGCAGAAGCCCATGCTTGGCTTTCGCTATTGGTTGACATTAGTTTCGTGAACGCAGACGGTTTAGAGGAGGAGGATGACGGAGTGATCACTGGCGCGCGGCCGAAGAACGCGGAGGTCAAATTCGTGGCGCCAGGTCTGGGGGATATAATCGGTTTAGACGGGGGAGTGGGGAGTGGGATTGGGGTACCATCAAGACAGTGATTGACGTGGTCGTTTTTGTCATTTTCGGGCAAGGCTCCGATATTTATTGCGCAGATGGGACATTTAACTGCCTCACTGGGAGTGCTGTTTTCGATCTCGTCGGCTTTGGGAAGGCTCTCAAAGTATTCGAGGTCACCGTCAAAGTCTTCGTAACCAGCCTCTGCACGAGAGGCAGGATCAAACCTGAAAGCTTCTTGTTCCTCGAAATTCGGTTCTTCGGAGAAATCCTCAATATCTTCATATTCCTCCTCTTCAAATGCACTGCCTTCTCTTTTGCGGGCTTTAGGGGTGACGTTGCAGTCTTCTAGTTTTGCCTCAACTTCCGAAGGTGAAGCATCCTCAACACCTTCCTTCATAGGGCTATCGCTCGGCGCTTCTGTAGGCTCTGTCGTTTCTTCCATAAATGCTTGCTCTCGAGTTCTTTTGGGTGGAATTTTCTCAGAATTCCCATCTTCAGCCCTTTTCGAAGAGAACTCTCCAATACTCCTGTCTGCTCTCTCGTCAATCAATGCCATGTCCCCATCTTCCTGGCCGTTGGAACCAACTCCCTCTGTACTTGAGCCCGAAGAGCTTCCTGGTCTTGTTTGTTTCAATTTCTTAAAGGGGGTGGTTGTAGACCCTTTCTTTGAGAATAGAAAAGACCTCGAACCATCGAGTTTCAGGCTTGCTGGGTTGAATTTTGGCGGAGATCCCGGCGCTTTACTGTCTAGGGTCTCCGCACCAGCTGATGGGAAGTTCTCGGGCAATGTGTCTGTGGGGGGTGCGGTCGATTCAATTTCGTCCATCACATCCTCGTTCATGGCCACATCGAGCTCATCGTCCTCCTTATTGTCGGCAGATGGCGGCCAAGGTCGGCTATGCTTTACCCTCACTGGAGAGGAGTACAAATCATCATCTCCCTTCGCCAATTGAAGCTCCCCCGCAAGAGTACGCTCTACCGACCAAGCACTATCATCGCCATCCTCCTCATCCTCGGGCTCTGAAAGGTCGAGCTCGTAGCCTCCGTGCCGAATGAATAGGTCGTCATTCTGCTCACCCTTCACTACAATTGCCGCCTTGATGCCTTTCGCTGAGCCCTTTGCCGGAGTCTTCACGTCTGCCGTTGGCGTGGCGGGCTTGAAGAAACTCAAAATGGAGGTATTCCCATTCTTCTTCGCCCCCGACTTTCCCGTAGACGTCGCGGGCTTAAACGCCATCTTCTTCCCATTCCCGGCCGCATAAGGTGTCAACAATGATTGCTTCGGTTTTCCCGTTGTCTTTCCAGGCGTCTTCGCAGGGGTTTGTGTCGGTTCCGGTGCCATCTTTTGCCTCTTCGGTGAAGGTGGCGAGGAGGTTATCGGTATTGGATCACTATTAGCGACAGCATTTGTCTGCGGAACTGGCACTGGTACTGGCGAAGATGGAGACTCGTCCACCGGTACGGGGCGGGGTAGGGCGGTGATGCGGGGTTTTCTGAACATTGATCCGATGACACTGAAGATGTCGTCGACGCGAGGAGGATCTTTGGGTTTGGGTTTCGCGTTTTTGTGCAAGGAACAGTCCACCACGCATTGAGTGCTTCAGATTGGGGAACCTCCGTGTAACCGCTGTAAGACATGCATTCACAAAAAAAAAAGTGGATCTCCTCATATGAGTGCAACATGAATCGGCGGGCTTGATTTTATTCTGTCGCCATGGTACTTTTCTTTTGATCAATTATACTAACTGCTTAAATTGTTTATATTTATCGCAACAGTCTAAAAAAAACCAGTCACGTGTAATCACTCGCTCATGCCAAGCTTGTGTAATTGCAACGAATTACATTTAGTACTCGTATTAGTACTATTAACGAGAAAATAGAGCAAAGGTGTTATCTACTTCACAAGTGAAGAGAAAAAAGATGCAATTGACAAATCAGAGGGGGGAAAGGTGACAAACAGCCAATCACAACTTTCCTTCTATCTAGCATAGATACTTTTTATTATGGCGGAAGCCCCAGAAGGAAATAGAAACAACCGGTCACACAGACCACACCACACACAACACCAGGCGTATATATCACTGCCTTCGGATCCCATGATTATCTAGAGTAGTGACAAGCGTATGGCCTCGGCTAGATCACTATCCTCTCTCTCTTGACACCTTCTTTCCTCGTCCTCAACCGAGGAGTTTCTGACCCCTTCCAATTCTTCATCCGCCTCTAACCCTCTTTCCTCAACATTCGCATCCACTCGAATTTCCAGCCCATGTGTGATACCACCATTGTTAGTCCCGTATAGATAATCGTCAGACTCGGGATCGCAATGCGGCTCCTGGGATTCATGGGAACCAAGCCGGTCGTCCGGGTATGGTGGGGGCTCAGAGTCAAATTCCTCCACAATCGCCTCGACATTCAGCCTACTATAGCTTTTGTTCAAGATAAGCATATTGATTATCTTTTTTTTTAGTTCCCATACCCCCAGGTTGATTTCAACCAAGTCCTGCCTGAGCCTGGCCATCAGGCACAAAATATCCAAAACCCGCTGCCCTGGACACTTTCCTTTGACGGCCAGGCCTTCCAAGTCTTTGTAGGCATTGATCAAACGGCGGCATAATGCATCGACCTCGAACCGTTGAAAAGTCTGGAGCTGCACGTACAAGTCATCCAAGTCGGAGACAGACATGACTTGGGACTCGGCGTCAACTTCTAGCTGAATGAGAAAGGTTTGAAGATGAACGACCAAGCTGGCGACCGACTCAATCTCATCGATAACACGGTCAATTGGGGCGTTCTTAGGGTCGCTCGGGAGCGAAGTATGACTTAGAGGAGTCCCTGGAGGGTATTTCGGAGGAGGAGGGGGTGGCGGCGAGTCAGGAGGTGGTGGCGGTGGAGGGGGTGGGGGTGGGGTTTCCGGCCTGTGACGGGCAGTCGATGGACCGGCACCACCACAGCAGTCCAGAGTGGTACACATTAAATCGCAACAGCCCATGATGAAGGATTCGTTTGAACTGGGTTTAATGGTGGAAGGGTTTTGATGATGAATATGAGAGCTTTGACGAATTAACCGGAAGACTCTGGGTGATTGAGGAAGAAAGAGTATCGTAGAAGCTAAGTACTTTTACAAATACCTTCTCAGGAGAATGGTTTGATAGTGGTGGAAAGGATATGGTGACGGAGAGCAATACTTCAACGAGAAGACTGGAGTTGCCCGTATAGAAGAAGAAGTATAGAAGAAGTTTTTGTATACGTTGCTCGAGGGAAATAGAGGAGAAAGAATGTGTTCTTATTACGCAGTTTCTAAGACTGCGCAGTTGAGTGTGAAATACGCAACGCCAGAGACTGTATAGACAATACAGCGCTGTTGTAATTAAGCGGTATGTTGACGCATTCAGTAATAATCGTGCTTGAATTCGAATAAAAACAATTCACCATTCTGTACTCTACGACCTTACATGCCTACATTATATGGGCGACATTACCAAACATTGTTTATTGTAATTTCAAGGTCAACATAACCTCTACTTTCTGGGAATTTGCTACGCTTTCCAAGTAACACCGAGAGCAGAGCAGTTACTAATTTCATACAACAATGTTGTGTAGTATCCTCAGCTTGAGATTTCAACGGAAATAGTCTTCCTTGATAGATGGGTTGAATCAAAAAAAATTCATTAATCACCTTAATTCGCTACTCTCTACATGACTTACACAAGATAACAATTTCAGCAAGCCCGTCCACCCCAAAGTGGAGTTTATGGCTGAAAGAATTGCCTCAGGAGTACTGACCCTCTACAGCTCGCTCGACATGATCAAGTATATAAACACTTCTTTCTCATCTACACCCTTGACATAGCTCACGCCCACTATACTATGCTCAATATGAAGATAAACTGCGCCCAAAACCAGGAAAATCCGCGAGAACAGAAAAGTCTAGGTCATCACAATGCGTATCATATAATATCACTCGACGTCACGCGCCACCGCCCCATAAATATTTGTGGCGTTCGTTTAAGATTTAATTGATAAATATAGAATTCATAACATAGAAAAAAACTCCAAGTAGCATCAAATTTGAACTTCCCTGCCCGTCTATCGAAACCTCCCAACTTATCTATTAAAATCGGCGCATTGTTTACATCACTAAATTCTATCGACACACGCGCACCCCCTTCCCTTGCATGAGAGGAAGAACTGCCTTATGAGCAGTTGGTGTACACGTGCACATAGATGGTGCATCTTCATACTGGCTGTATCGATCGACGCTGGAACTGGATCTGGAGCTGGAGTCGCTTTTAACGTATGTGTCGGTACATGTGGTCGCATCATAGATATTTTCATCCGTGGCTGTGGAATGATCATGAAAGTCCTCAAAGAGTCCGTCAAGATGCTTGTCATGTTCCTAAGCCTGGCGTTAGTAAAAATTTTCATAAGAGTGATGGATAATACCAACTAACCCACATGACTTCCTCTTGATTCGAAGTCTTAACACTCAATTTAAAAGCCCGCTCAGGAAGATCTTGCCCCCAAGTCACAAACGAACCCTCAAGTTCATATGTCTCTACTAGCAGTCTTTTGAGCCTCTGGAGGCAGTCAATCTCATAATCTTCCAGCTCTTTAGGGAACAGGCCTGTGAAGATATCTATGTATGGATCTGGGATAGGAAGATACGAAGATATTTTGGGATTCTGTAGCCTTTTGAGATGTGCTAGAAGTTCGGATTCGATCTGGGTGAAGGCTTTGTCTAGCCAGATCTTGTACTGGGTAGCAAGTTGGGCGCGCCGTATGTGACGGATGCAGGCATTGGTGGCTTTGAGAGACGCACCGATTTCTCGAGGGGTACGGCGGCCTGGAGTAGGAGCGGGACTTTTGGTTCCCAGGTGCGCATAGATAAAAAAGAGGGTAATGATGAAGAGTGTAAAAAGCTCGATGTAGATATCGCAATTGCTAATTGGAATTTGTAGGAAAGACATCGTGGAGACCTATTCAATTTATTGGGGTTACTTTATGTGTTGTTGGACAAAAAAAAAAGGGCAAGAATTAAGGTTCCACGTAGAACATTTATAAACCAAGAGTAGGCAAAGAAATTGACAGGTGGTACAATCATGCGTATAACTTGTATCTGAGCCCGGGTACGGGAACGTGCGGTTTTATCATGTGTTAATGTGCTTCGTGGTTTTAATTTTATAGCGTTTGTAGAAGGAACCACTTGATATTGGCAAACAATTGCCCATGTCAGGATGAAGGGAATGTTTAAACAAACTTGCACACATGGCCATGACCACTATGAACTGGTGATGAATTTGTGTCATTCCTAACACTCAACCATAAAAAATGTAGGTCGGTATCAGGCCTACTCCGGCCAAGTTCTAGACTCAACTGTAGTCCTACTCTTTTTCCTCGTGGAACACTGAAACGGCAGGGGATGACCCTAGTTATTATATTGCAGGAGGCCATTTTTCCTTATCGGCTAACGTAAATCATTCCAAGAGGTAAGTTCATTAAGTGCAAAAGATAGCAGCTATTCAACTTGATATACGATAGATACATACTCTAGACTGCTGTGTAACTCCGACCACAGCCAATCACTCGCCGCGCACCTCCTGTTGGCAAGGAAACCGGGGTTCAGCCCGCCAAGCCAAAACAACATACCCCTTCCACGATCACGGGCCGGGCACCCATCCCCCACAACACTCCCGAGGCCTCGGTACCTCTCCCAAACCCCAACCTCACCCTGTCGATCCCGCGGTAACCCCCGGTTTCTTATTCCACTACACTTCCAGCTTCCCCCAGGAACAAAATCCACTTACAGAACAAATGGCACCAGCTCTCCACCCAGCTGCCATGGCTGCAATGGCCGCAATGGCTTCTTCAGCTTCAGCTTCAACACCGAAACAACAAGCTCCGCCGCGTCAACCACTCCGTAAGAAGCGAAAAAATAGATCACCGATCGTGGCGCGACTGGTGGTTGATGAGCTCCGTGGCGATGTCGGATATGTCTCTGAGGATATCTGGAGAGATGTGTTTGGGTTCATCAAGCAGGAGCCCAAGAAGCCCGAGCAGCATCCTGAGATTATCAATGGGGAAACAATCATGATTGATGATGGTGAGCTATCCACTGTTACTTATTTTCTTCTGGGAGCTCCAGAACGAATCGTGAATAAGATCTAACAGCTATACAGAGGAGCCCGAAGAAGAACCAATACCCCCGACCCTCCACATCGCCGTAACACCTCTCAGCTCAGCGCGCGAAGCAGCTTCCAAAAAATGGTCTATCTTCCCCGTGACTTTCCTTCCCGATAGCTCGCAGTTTATGCGTCTCGCGCCCTCAACAATCATGCTCCCAAATACTATGACCCTCCCCCCTCAGCTTTCCGCAGCTGGCGAAAAGGGTGCGAAAGCCCTCGGGGTGCTCGTAATGGATGTAGTCCCTGTAGGCCTAGAAACCGTGATCGTGAACGTCCGCGTTCCAGCCAGCATGACCTCGCAGTACGACCAAGACCTCGAAGACCGTGTTAAGGAGGCACTGGCGACGCAGAAAATTGTCCGCGCCGGAGACGAGCTCCCGTTGCGGTATGCACATGGAAGGATTGAGAGAGGCCAAGCAAAGATTGAAATCTGTGAGCCAGTGGAGCAGGGGTTGATATTGAAGGAGACAAAAATAGTAATTTTGAAAGAGAGAGAGAGTATGCAGAGAAAGCAACGAGCTGCGGTCGATGGGATTACAGTTTTAGGTGGTGGTCGCGAGCATGATGGGGGCTCTGAAGGTGAAGATTTAGGCGACGAGGACGAAGGCGACTTAGAGTTTTCCACATTCTTGTCTTTGCCCAGTCCGGGGCCCATCTCTTACTCGAGTATGAACTCGACGCCATACATGCGCAATGGGTCCATTTCTCCAAACTCGAGTTTACAGTCGAGCTCGGGTGGACAAGGGAAGGAATTTAAGACCCAGTCGCTCACAACCCCGGTGCCGTCGGGGCTTTTGTTCCCCAAACCAAAGGACTACGATGATGACGAAGCACGAGTTTTTGTAAAAGTAGGAGATTTGGCAAAGTTGGGCTGCTTCTCTGGTGACTGGGTTAGGATATCAATCCCATCACCACCTGTAGAGGGCACTGCTGCAACGTCAATCAGGACTGCCGCCGAAGCGGTAGCACGGGGGCGTGGGCTAGCAGTTCCTACAGGGAGAGGTGTAAACGGAAGTAGGCCGGTCTCGCGGAATCAGCGTGACAATTCCTCAATGCGGAGCGACGATACAGAACTTGGACGCCCAGTAAAGATCTACTCGCTTCCTGAGGGTTGGGAAAGCTCTTCAACCAACGAAAAGAAGAAGAAAAGGCGTAGTGAGAAGGGGAAAGAGATAGAGGGTGAGCTAAAAAAGGAAGTTAGTGTGGTCTACCTTTCGCCTATCCTCCTTGCAAACATCTCCCCTTCAGTATCAATGGCTCCGGAGGTTGTATTATCGCCATTTGAGATGCCCACCAAGTCTCTACGTGATCCAGGCCCTACTTCCCCTCCTCCCGCCAAGGAGGTCACACTACTACGCATCGCATCACCTACCTCAACAGACCGGACACTTCAACCTTCGCTCCTACTTCAACTAAAGTCCTACTTTGAGTCCTGCCGGCGAATCGTGAAGAAAGGCGACGTCATTGGTGTCGGAATTGACGAAGTCCTAGCTAGAAGTCTCTACGGAGATAGCGGTGAAGACGGCGTCACGGAAGAACTTCTCACTGGTAATGTTGAAGAAGGTAAAGGCGGTAAGAAGACCTGTGTCGCTTGGTTCAAAGTCGGCAATATTGTCTCTACCTCCGACGATAACCCGGGCGACCGAAGTCCGATTGGCCGCCGAGGTACAGACCGAAAAGAAGCAACAGAAGAGAGTGCATGGGGTGGTGTAGTGTTTGTCGACCCGGCAACTACGCGTATGGTGCAAGCTGGCTCGGAGAAGCGGAAGATTCCACCTACAATGTCCTCAACATGGGAGTATTATCTTGGGTTGTCGCCGCCGCCAGTTAGGTTGGCCATTGAACAAAACAAGCCCACTGCGTTGGTTTTCCCGAACCGCTATGTCAACCAGACGCAGCGGCGGTTAAGGGAGCTGGTATCTGCAGCCACATCTCCAAGGGCCATACAGCTGGGGTTACAGCCTATTGCAATTCTACTCACAAGTACACAAAGAGCAATTGGTAAGAGGACGATTGCAATGAGGGCGGCATCGGACGTGGGAGTTCACGTTTTTCATATCGATGCGTATGACATCATTTCAGACGGCGGTTCAGGGGACGTTAAAACAGAGGGATTCCTTAGGGCAAGAGTTGATAGAGCTCTGTCATGTGGAAAGGAGAGCTGTGTTTTGCTCTTGTCCCATATTGAGGCCCTTACTGCGGCGAAGATGGGCGAGGTATTGAAGGATATCGTCGGCCAGTTCAGGATTGTCGTTGCGACTACCACAGAAGTGGACAAGCTGTCTGATAACGTACGCAATGTTTTCACGCACGAGATGGATGTTGGTGCACCTGATGAAAAGGAGAGAGCAGGGCTCTTGGAGGCAATTGTAGATGAGCGAAGAGTTAGACTTGGGAAAGAGGTCGAGCTTAGTGGCGTCGCAGTCAAGACTGCAGCTTTAGTAGCTGGCGATTTAGTCGACGTCGTCGAGCGAGCTGTCGCAGCTAGCGGTGAGCGAGTCTCAAAATTAGCAAAGAAATGCCGCGCAAGAATAAAGAACACAGGGTCCGTCGAGGGGACAATCATGATCCAAGATCTCGAGATTGCTGGAGGCGACGAAGCAACTAGCATCCTCAAATGCGATTTCGAAGTCGCAGTCGAAGCTGCGCGCCGTAACTTTGCTGATTCTATTGGCGCTCCAAAGATCCCTAACGTGTCTTGGGACGATGTTGGAGGTCTTGCTAACGTCAAGAGCGCCGTTATGGAGACCATCCAGCTCCCGCTTGAGCGGCCAGAGCTCTTTGCGAAAGGTATGAAGAAGCGCTCCGGTATTCTTTTCTATGGGCCGCCGGGAACAGGAAAGACCCTCCTTGCTAAAGCAATTGCAACGGAGTTCTCGCTCAATTTCTTCTCTGTTAAGGGGCCCGAATTGTTGAACATGTACATCGGAGAGTCTGAGGCCAATGTGCGCCGTGTCTTCCAACGTGCACGTGACGCAAGACCTTGCGTGGTATTTTTCGATGAGTTGGATTCAGTCGCGCCTAAGAGGGGTAACCAGGGTGATTCTGGCGGTGTTATGGATCGTATTGTGTCCCAGCTGTTGGCGGAGCTGGATGGTATGAGTGAAGGTGCCGAGGGAAGTGGTGGTGTTTTCGTGATTGGAGCGACCAATAGGCCCGATTTATTGGATGCAGCATTACTTAGGCCGGGAAGATTCGACAAGATGTTATACTTGGGTGTCAGTGATACACATGATAAGCAATTGACCATCTTGGAGGCGCTGACAAGGAAGTACGAATACACATTCTCCGACACTTGGTATCTGTTATTAATCTGTGGATAGGTTCGCGCTTCACCCTACGCTTTCGCTGAGAAGAATAGCGGAGACTTTGCCATTTACATATACCGGTGCAGACTTGTACGCGCTGTGTTCTGACGCAATGCTGAAAGCGATCACTCGTCAAGCCGGAAGAGTAGATGAAAAAATCAGAATCCTCAACAGTCAGAGTGGTGAGAGTATGAGCACGGCCTACTTTTTTGACCACGTTGCAACTGAAGAGGATACCACTGTGCTTGTCGAAGAGGGCGACTTTGAAGAGGCGAAGAACGAACTCGTGGGAAGTGTTAGGTATTACCTCCGCCATATGGAAAGAACCCTTTTTGAACGATACTGATTGAAACAAAACAATAGTGCCAAAGAACTCGAGCATTACCAACGCGTACGTGAACAGTTCGAAAAGGCCGAAGATGACGAAAGCAAAAAGAAGTCCCAAAACAAAAAGAAAGGCAAGGCCATCGAAATGAACATGGATGAAATGCCACTCTACGACAACGGCAAAGTTATCCTACTCGGCAGATCTGGACAGCCCCTTGAAGATTCAGGTCTTCGTGCACGGCTCCAGCTTGATCTCGGCAGCGACACTGGCCCGGCTACTGGCGAGTGGGAAGACTCTGCAGCTGGCGATGACGAAGAGCTTTATGGCGGGGGTTCGTGAATCGAGGCCTGTGATGTTGAAGTGATGGGTGCAATGACTTTTCCGAGAGCCAGGAGAAAACTGGTGGTTAGGGACCTGGTTGAGTATTGGGAGAATGTGTTTGCGGACAAGTTTGACTAATTGATTAAAATATATATGAAAGTATTAATGGGATAGGGTGGAGGGTGTGGGTGGATTTATATACCAATTATGTAATTATAGAAATTTTGCATAGAAGAATACTACCTATCAGATACAGATTTTGAGCCGGCCACTTTCTTGTAAAGGGTGGGGACGGTCGGTGGGCTATATGTTATATACTTTACTTCTGATCGAAGACCTACGTAAACTTCTTACGTCTGTCCTCACTCTCTAGTCCTTAATTATAACATGATCCTTCTATAGTATTATCAAAGCAGCGGCATCCTTTCCTCTTTGTATGCCGGTGGTAACGTTGGTGTATGTAATCGAGTGATCTTTGGTGATAGAGAAGAACCTCAAGAAGGCCATCTACGCTGGCCGCTGATGCCTATCCAAATGTGCATTTTTGGTAGTGACTAAGTTGATCATGAAACTCGACTGGGAAAGATATCTTGACATGTTCGGTCCTAAAGCTCCCAAAGCTCAAGCCAGCCGGTTATTAATTAACTATCCCTGGAGGTGTACACGTGTGGAGGCCGGTCTGGGTGATGGCTGGGTTTACTAAAGCGAAATTAAACATTATATTATGTAGGTACGCACTCTGTCCTATCGACTATGTATATATTCTATGGACCTTTCTGTCTGTCAATAAAATTAATACAGGAATATTCATCCCGTTCTTTTCAGAAATAATGCACACATTCTCCTCATACTGAGGAAATCAATCGAACAATTCATTACACTCACAGATGAGTATCGAGTGATATGCCATAATTTTGCTAAATTGTAGTAACAGTGGTGTTTATAGTACCCGCTGGCTAAAGTGATAAAATTATCGATAGAAGTCACAACTAGGTATATAGCGGCCTATATGTCGATGGCAAATTTTGTTCGAGAACCCGGAAGGTACGGTGGTGTTTTACACAAACCTAAAGCAACTTTCCGATACATCAGCTACGGGAGGCGCACAAAGGAAATAATCCCCTGAAATAGATGTTTGTCGATTTCTTATTGGGAAAATTACGTTTGGCTCACCTTAAATACACCGTAGCCCCTGTCGCCCGAGTTTCGAAGTTTATCATCGTTAGCCTCCATTTATCGCTGTCCACGGTTTAAACTCAGTCTTCGATACATTTCCAGCAGGATACTCCGCCGATTCAATATGTTTCTTCAAAGTAGACGTTTTATTCTCAGTCTTTACAATGTGTTTGGGGTCAGTTGCTACTTAACACGATCGATGATAACCCCTGCATCACTTGTGAATAGACAAACCGAAGGATTATCATCTGATCAGGTATTATGTGGGCTGAATGGCTTTGTTCCTAAGCGTCAGTGTTGTGACCAAGAGCATGGATGTAAGCTTCTATGAGAACATTATCTTTCACTTTATGAAATTCTAGAACTGACTCTAGGGGCGTGTCAAATGAGTGATGGGTACTGTGGTATTGATATTGCACCTTATTCTACAGTTCTGGGTTGTTTTGTTGGGTTCGAGCCCCCCAGACGTATACGCAGCGAACGCGATGCGCTAATATGTTCATATGAGTACATGTATGCTAATTCGTCTTTAGTCCGGGTCGTCGAGTGCCGGTAATTGGCCAAGGTTGTTCAAGTTGGATGTCTGATTCTCAGCGTTACATTGGAATCTCAAGTTCGACAATGAAATACTTTAGTTGGTGAGTTTTCGTTTACTGGAAACCTTTTATCACTACCTATATTAGACCTTTATATAGTACACCGTGTGAGTATATATGTACTGACACACATAAAGCGTAGATAAGAGTTTCACTCGTTGTAGTTTGTTCGTTCAATCGGGATATACCTCCTGGTTTACATGCGAAACGTCAGCTTCAATTACATCAACTTTTGAAACAGTTATAATCATAACTATCACCCCGACAGATGATCCATCTACAGTTACGTGGACAATAACATCTACAAATTCAGTTGGCACATTTAGTTCGACCACTTATTCTCCCGAACTCTCCAACCTACCAACATCAGGGCCTATTATTGTGGGTGGTGAGCCGATTGATGTGTACGGAGTACCAATTGGTCTTGTAGCCGGCCCTTGTATAGGAGGATTGATCGCACTCGGAATAATAATCACTTTGGTGTTCTTCCTACGGCAAAAGCGTCTAAAATGTGGTTCATCACCAGCGAACTCGGGTGCACTTGAGCCTCCTATTAAACCACAGGTACAGCCGTGTATCGAAATTGGAGGCTATGAACAAACTATCACTTATCACGAACTGGAAGGCGGAAATCAGGTCTCCCTACCCATACCATCGAAGGACTCCGCGACAGTAGTAGAATAAATGTTGATTGATCCTCTGGGTGTTATGTATTGTACCTACTCTATTCTGCATCCGCAAAATATATTAGTCCCCGCATTGATTTAGCCAAATTTGAAATCTGCCTTAAGAACTGTGCGAAGCCGTTTGATACCACTTGCTCTTATTGTAGTCCAACCAGCCAATAAACACATTTCTTGGCACATTTATTAACCCTGCCTTGTGCCCGGCCAGATTATGCAATCTGCTTTACCCGTCTAAGTTATCTGCAATTGGACAGCTTTCCCCTCCTCCTCGAGTGATTGTATGTGATGCACTGCAAATAGTACATACGTGTATCTACTCGTAGTGAGCTAACGTTTGTGGACGCGACTGATATTGCATGCCATACAAAAAATACGCCAAGCTCATGATGTTGGGTGTATGCAATAATGGCCCGGTTTAAAAACGTCAGCTCCCTACGAGTAGTATCTACTACCCTGCTGCTGCTGCTGCATAGTGATTTGTCCGGGATGCTCACTCTCACCGCATGATGATGATGATTAGAGTACCTCAAATATCTTAGACTCAGAATACTCACCTCATGTAGAGTATGGGTACATGTAGGTATCCCCCAGAATCCCCAATAAGTATTAGCTTGGTGGTACAACTGCCGCTACCGCCCGGCAATAGTAGATAAATGCAGATCTAGTATATATCCGTCAAAGGTGTCAAAGCGTATTCCATTTTGAGCGAGGTAGTGGGAACTCAATTGGTTGTATTTCCGTGACGCTAGTAACCAGGCCTAGGTGTTACTACAAGAGGTTCAAGTCCTTGGCAGGAAATTCAACCAGAACCCTGCCAAGTCTTGAGACACTTTCCCCATACCAGTAGTGCACGTTTATTATGTTTGTTCCTTTAGGGTTTAGTTAAGGTTTGTTTCACGTTGTCTCCTGGGCTTTCCGGTTCTTGTACTAATTTAAATCAGCCATCGTGAAAAAAAGAGAAAAAAACAAAATATATATTGTAAATTAAGCCAAGTGATGTCAACGATCCCGAAGCCGACTTACTCAGAAATGAAAAAGAAAAAAGAATACATCCAATGATAAATAAGCAATGCTCAACCCAATATCAAACCTAAAAATAAACAGGTAAAAAAAAGAGACTTCATAAGTGTCATCATAAGTAAATAGCTTCCAACCTCATAAGGACATGACAGATATTTAGGTACAGTACAGTATTATTTGAAACCCTGAAAGAATTCCGCGGAATCCAAGCAAAACAAACCCGTCAAGTGCAAGCGAGCGTATAAACCATGATTATACAGACAAAGAAAAGATAACCAACCAACCAACCGATCCTCTCTTCGGTCCAGTAACTATCGCAGCAAATTCCGCCTAATTCTGCCAGAACAGACCTTCAAACAAATTCTTAACAAAGTGGCCTGGATCCACGAAAAGTTGAGAGTGTCGATGGTATGCAAAATCACATCCCTAAAATGCGGTAACGCTGGTAAACTTCGTCATTCCAATCCCTTTACTCGTTGTCTTCAACGCCGCCTTTCCGCCCTCCCTCCGGCTGACGCTACCGACACTACTAAGTAACCCGCCTTCCCCCTTCCCGACTTCCTTGCCCAGAGCATACCCAGCAGAGAAAGTAATGGCGCTCAAGACAATGATTGCGCCGGCCGAGATAGCTAGAGTCATATACGAGAAGTTTGATAAACTCATGACTTCATTCTCGTTACTGGTTCCTCGTGTCTGAGAACGTGATCTTCGCTTTGATTTTGAAGATGACGATTTGCCTTTCAACTTCTTAGTATCTTTCATCGCAAGGCTCTCAGATGATTGTGAGCGTGATGCAGGAGCTGTTGATGTGGACGTAATTGAAAGACTTCGGGGCTTCGTGGTTGAGTTACTAGGTTCACCACCCTCCCTCACAAGCGTCAGATTATCAACTGCTACCCTACCCCCTTGTTGTTGGGACTGGCTTGCTGGCAATATTTGACTTGACTTTGGAAGTCCCCTTGCTGCCGCTGCACAACTCAAAAGTGTTGACAATGAAGCCCTTAGAGCTGCGTCGTGGTCAGCCGCATGATTTGGTGCGAACGAATTGAACCCATAAGCATGACTACCTGCGGATGCCGACGGTGTGGTTTGGGCACGCCTATATGGCGGGCCCGGGCGCTGCGGCGGCACTGAGGGCGGAAAACCTGTTCGTAGTCTTGCGTTGGAGTCTGAAGCTGAAGCCTCGTCATCACTCTCATCGTCGTCGTCCTCGGGAGAGGAATAGTCGTCAGAGCTCATAGTCATTGAGTTGATCATTGTCCCCATGTCTTCACCTTCGCTCTCATCGTCGTCCTCTCCTGACGACTGTTCTGGTTCAAATACAGGCACCTCTTGGGGACGTGCAGTTGGTCGAGCTGTTCCTCTGCGTCGCCGACGAGTCTGCGAGATGCGAAGACCTGCGGTTATGATATGGTCATCGGAGGACGATGTATATTGGCTATCGCTAGGGTGCGAAGCTACTTCAATCCAAGAATCGGATTCAGCTACGCGCAGACAGTAATTAGTTAGCTTAGCTTATCGACAATTACTTAGACGAAAACAGTTGAGTAATCTACAATTAAGCAGATACCAATTATTTCTTTAAAATTTAAATGAAGCTCGTCAAAGAAATAAAGCGCCAGCAGGAAAAAAAAGGTGTAGAAAACTAACCTCCATTGTTCACCGGTGCACTTCGAGTTCTCGAAAAGCTTCCCCCAGTTGCAGATCTCGCTGCCCCCGCTCCTTGTGTCGAAAACACCGATGGCTGCATCTCGATTTACACTATTCTATTCGCCGACCGTTGGTTGAGTAAGCGATAATGAAGTTAAGCTTCGTCTTTGCTCAGGAGCTTTAAAAAGAAAAGATTTATGGATTGAGCAGTAGGTTGAAGCGAAGAAGGGGAAGAAGGGAATAGTTGAATAGATAAGAAAGAAGGCCCCTTCCAATGTTCCTGACCGTCCTCTTGTCTGTGCTTTAAGTAAACCCCCCTAGATTCCACGTGTACTTGTCGTACTTCCTTTCTATGTGCTGCTCCAGCCAACCCAAGCCTAAAAAGCCGCAACCGCAAGCAAGTCCCGGGAAAAGAGAAAAAAGGGGGGCAGGCAGGCAGGTAGAACGAACACGACAACCAAGCTCCCCCTCTGAAACTGAGCTGCCCCAACAAATCTGTATCTGTATATCGTCACAACGTACCGCTATGTTCTCCCCCCCCACGCCTGAGCTCGATATATTCACTCTTTACTTTTTCTGCCCACTCAAGTAACTTTGCGCCCGTTCTCGTACGAAGAGTCGAAAGATATAGGTACTTCTGGGGAGAAATTGGGGGGGAGAAGAGTGCCAGAGTGGAGTGAGATGGGATGGGGAAGCTCTGCTGCTCTGGTTCATGTATGGCATGCTAGCTAGGATATTGAAGGTAATCGATAAGCAATAAGCAATTAGCACCTGCGCCCTCCCAAACGACTCACAGATCGGTCTAGTGACCTTATTATCCCTACTATCTGCTTACGTCATGTACTCACGCGCAAATATACAAGGACTCAGGGCAGCCTCACCGGCCAATAAACGCCGTCGAGCACTGCCGTTAGCCCTGATATCATCATCTTCCCGAGGCCGACCTTCTGCTAGATCTATTTTATGTCTTGAGGAAAGACATCATTTTAAGTGATTGAGGGGCTTGGCGGTCGCTATTAGGCTACCACAAAGGTCGCGTGCTCTCACTACTTTCAAAGGGCATCCAATCAAGTATTCTCCATTGCTAACCGAGTTCCATGGTTTGCGCAACTGAAGCCTGAGTGAGACCGGCGAACAGGATTCCTGAATATCATCAGAGACCGAGTGATTGACTGTGAAATACCTATATCGGTAGTGGGGGCAGTGCCTTATCTGAGAACCGAGCTCCACGAACAGGCATCACCCCGGGAGCTGTTTCTTACGCGTCCCGTTAATCTTATCAGATTAATGTTGGGATCAGACACAACGTTGGGGATATGATCTGATTAGATCCGGAGATAACACCGTGAGTGGTTTCAAATTATTAGACTAAGATCGAGCTTTCCCTTTAAGGAAGCTTCTAATGTGGAGTCATAAAATGCCAATTCAGATCCCCTGGACGTATGAGACATTTGCGAAATCTCTCTCATGCATTAGCGCGATCTATTGAGGAAGTAATTGACTGAAATAAGACGGCGACCTGCGAAGTTTGTGGCATACGGGCGTACCACAAGTACTGGAAAATATAGCGAACAGCTTACCCTGACGTTTTCTCACCCAAATTAGATTTCGACAGTGTCTCATACATCCAGGGGATAGGTATCATGTTGCTACATGAGTAGAAAACAGGACAGGCAATTCCTGTTTGCAGAAATCAAGTCTGGTTCGACCTCGGACTATGTTAGGCTTGAGGTCTGCGGACTTCATTTCTGGAATCGTACCATACTTGCATGGACGTATGCACATCTCCGGGAGCTATACATCTGATCACCCAATCATACGTCGATCAAACGAATAATAGAGTAGGTATCCTAGGGCATGAGACGATCCCAATGGTATTTACGTATGTCAATAGTGCAATAAATTCATACCGGCACCAGGATTCATCAAAAGCGCTCGTGAGGATGATAAGCGTATTCGTATTCTAGAAGCGTTATGGAAATTATTTTTACATATCTCGGAAACTAACAACTGGCCGGCTCGGAAAGCTTCCCTCGGGATGAGGAATCATAAGTCGATACTGTATACGTCTGAGTTGCTATGGTTTCTCGATGCCAATTATAATGTCAGGCGAACTGTGCAGGAAATATTTAATTGCTGGTGTAGGTAGAGCCACATACGAAGGTATAGACGGATCAGATTGCCAGAATAAACACAAAAAAATGTAACATGGAACATTCAACGAGCCTGGAGCTTTTGAACAATTGAATTATATTAGAGAAATCTCGAAAGCAACTTCCAAGATCCGCTTTTTGATCATTATACTAGAACATGTAAGAGAAAACACCAAGACACCCGCAAAAGCACCATCGTAAACCCTATCTGAACCTCAGGACCTCGCAATACTGCCTCCCAGTATCTAATACCGTCCACTCTTTTCCCTTCTCGTAACCCTCTGCTGGTGCAAAAGTAAATTTGCCTTCGGGAGGATCCAGACCCATCACGAAATCCCTAATTATCGCCTCTCCCTGCTCTATGTACGAGCAAGGGCCATATTCGACTTCGACAATGCATCCCTTCATCTGATCTCCCTGCGTTAGGTCCGCAATCCTCACCCGGAAATCATCTACCTCATATCCCAGCCCCAAAGCTCTCAGCGTCTGCCTTGGCGTCCACATTGGCGCCATCTTGGACCGTACGATGAGTTCAAACTCACGCTCGCTGGTTACCATCTGTTTATCGGCGAGTACAAAGAGCATGAACGGATGGTAGGAGAGATCTAGCCATTGCATAAACTTGTGTTGAGGGGCTTGCGGGGTCGGCTGCGGTGTAGTAGGTGAGGTCGGAGTCGCGGGTACCGGGGGTGGATTCTCGCGCAGCAGCTTGTGCTCGAGGTTCCAGCGGGCTAGGGGGAAGGGTTGGTGGCGTTTGGAGAGCCGATCAGTGAGGATTTGAAGCGCGGGGGGATTGGTGGGTTCGGAGATGAAGTATAGACTGCAAGAGTATTAGAAGCAGAAGGTTTAGGCGCGCAATGTAAGGGAGTGATAGATATATACATACCCAGTTACAGGCATTGCGTCAAAGTTCTCGATCTCGCGAAGGATGAGAGCTGTACGCGAGCTCTAGGTGTTGTAGAAATAAGATGCGGCTGAGCCAAGACCGGACCGCCACGCCGTCCGTGGATTCGCGATTTGGTACCTAACTGAGCATGATCAATTTTGGTATCTACACTTGGCAAACTCTGAGCCCCATCGGCTATCATTAAAACTACATGTATCATTGGCGTGAAGATAGTCGGGCATGAGGTTTAGACCAAAACAGTACTTGCACCTGGACTCCGAATCGGGTCGATTTCTTCGTCACTCCTGATTCTTCAAAAACGAAGCTGGTTTCCCGCAGCCGTCTTCTTCAACAAGTTACATGCTATTCATATCAGTTCATCCCCGGAGGACGACATGATAGGGAATTGAAGAGAACCGAATTTCCCAAATGAAGGGACGTTATATACCCGCCTGAGACAGTATCGCGGGTGGCTTCTACCTGACCATGGCCAAACACACCATACATAGGTATTATTGATTAAACGCTTCAATTACGCGATTGTGTACATGAGCTCACGCGCAATAAGCGGATTATTATCAAATTCGCAACTTCCCTCTTTCAGCTAATACTAGCCCTATCTAGCAACTCGTTCTGATTTTCGATTGGCTGTATTACTATTACCGCACACAAAAAGCAAGAAGGTTACCTGACTAAGTGCGTGCACGGTCCAGGCTGCGAATTTGAGAGTTTCATCCGTCCAAGAGATACAATACCCAAAAAACTATCTGACTAATAAAGTGTTTCGTGTCAAGGGATACTTGCGCACACTTGTGTAGTACCTACGGCCTACTGGCACTAGTGGGTGGTGCACACGGTGATGGTCTACTGTGCCGCTAGTCAGCGTATAATTAGTCCAACGTTAGCGCGCGCGAAATCCGAGTAATAACCTGATCAAGAGCTCAGTCCTATCATATGTACCTACGAATGTTGTTTATGGGCCAACGATGAAGGCTACATGTATGCATATCTACGTTTATGATACATAGATGTAGTAATCTTAGCTATCCGGTACGTTATGAGCATAACTTGCAGCTTCGAACAACATTTCTAACTGGGTCTTAAGCTTCATAATACAGACATTAGGTGCATCATGCAAGATTTGAACCATTGTGGGTCTATGGATGCGTGCCTGGCCTCGTATTTTTTTTTCCCTCGGGGCAGGGTTTGTTCAGATTGGCGCGAGCGTCTGTATGCTGTTAATTGGCGAGGATATGCATATATGCCAATAGAGAAATTAATCTGTGGACAGTTCTAAATATATGCTTGCAAAATATGCGGATGAATGGCTCTGGTTTGTTGTTCAATCCACGTCACCCATTCATCAGCAATCATAGGCGCTTGCAGAATAGGCGCTTTCAGAAATGAGGGAGGTGCTGAATCAACTATTGAGTACGCCTTTATATAAGCCTAAGGAAATCTCACTAGATAGAGCAGAACATTTACGATCAAATTATATACGCCCAAGATTTTTTTGGAGAAAACTCAAATCAGGAGAATAGAGGTCGACATCCAGAGCATATACAACCATCTCGAGCTACAAGGAATATTCACTCCTGTTTTGATTAAGAAACATATATAGTTATATATTTACGATCCAACATGGCATCTACGACTATAGCTATCGATATCAACAAATTCAAGTTACAGCCAGAGCCTAATATTTGGAAAACTGTAAAAGCTCTTGGTAGTGGAGGTTTTGGGGAGGTTGTTCTCGAGAAAAACATAGCTGGGAAGCATAGAGCACTCAAGAAGATTACGGGATCAGTAGCCCAAAATCTCATGCTAAAGCGTGAGATAGAGATATTGGTACAGATCAAGAAGGTATTAGACACCCATTTTATTATCCTTATAGGCAATGGACATTTTTGAACTCACAGATTTCTAGTGTCCAGATTTGTTTGTACAATCCTTAGGATGGTATGAAAGCAGCGATAGTATGTTTACATACATCGCGCTAGAATACATGGATAAGGGCGACCTTGGAAAATATCTCGCTGCCCATGGACCTCAAACAGAAGCGAACGCCAAAGAGATTACCAGACAACTCCTACAAGGACTTGAATACTTGCACAAAAATAATATATGTCATCGTGATATGAAACCGGAGGTTTGGGTTACACTCTTGTTATATTGATGTTAATTGCATGCTTACATATATCGCAGAATGTTTTGATGGCCTCTCAATCACCACTCCGTGTAAAACTGACCGATTTTGGAGCATCAAAAATATGCTCGGAAAACACAAATCTTCGTACCAAAATCGGAACAATGCGATATATGGCCCCGGAGCTCCTAGGAGTCTTGCCCTCAAAGTTTACACCGAAGAACGGGATATATAGCAACGCTGTAGATTTGTGGTCTTTGGGCTGCCTTACATATCAGATTTGCACTTTGAAGACACCATTTGCGAAGGCGAAGTCACTGTCATCAATATCTACTAAATATGACGCAACATCTACTATGTATGATGATGAAAAGGATGTTGAGGCAGAAGAGGATATGACTCTTATGAGCAAATTCTGTCATGGCGAAGCTAGTCTTCCGATCGAGAATCTGGAAAACGTTCGATTAAGCGACGAAGGCATACAGTTTATCAAAGATCTGTTGCTTCCTTATCCACAAAACCGGACTTCCGCGGCGAATGCAGCAAAGAGTAGATGGCTCTCAGCATCACCTATAGATCGAGCCGAAACAACCAGGATTCAATTCCAGGCGTTAGGGGTACCGCTCAGCTATCAGGTCGTCAGTAAAATGATTCAACACTGGGAAAATTCACGGGGAAAAGCGGGCCCTCAACGAAAGAAACTGGATATACCAGAACTTCCTCCCTCTATCCGCCAGGATGCAACGGCCTTGATGCATGCAGCAGCAGAAAAGTCATATGCAACTATTGTTGGTATTATGAGTTGCCTTATCGAGCCAAAGAAGGAATGTTTTGACTTCAGAATCAAGGGGAGAACAACGCTAGAGTTAGCAGCCAAAGGAGGGCACATTGAGGTTGCAAAAATACTTCTCGAAAATGGTGCCAACATTAATGCCTCGCCACCAATGAATGCCCTAAATGGCAGGACAGCCCTACAGGCAGCGGCAGAGAGTGGGAATCTAGAGATGGTGAAACTACTACTTGAAAAGGGGGCCAATATCAACGCCAAACCATCCGAAAAAGGCGGCCGTGGGGCATTGCAAGCGGCGATAGGGAGCTCACAATACGAGATTGCGGTTCTACTTTTGCAGAAAGGCGCCAATGTTAACCTTCCACCCGCCACGATAAACGGTCGAACAGCGTTACAACTTGCGGCCGAAAAGGAGGAATTGAAGTTAGTGGAGCTACTCCTGTCGAAAGGCGCACAGGTCAATGCCGAAGCCTGCGAATCCGGGGGCCGGACAGCTTTACAAGCTGCCGCAGGTAATGGGAACCTCAAAATCGCCGAAATACTATTAAAGAAGGGGGCTGAGGTCGACGAGGAACCTTCTGAGGAATGCGGACGAACAGCGCTACAGGCTGCAGCGGAAAAAGGGCACCTCGAAATGGTAAAACTTTTGCTGAGAATGGGTGCAAATGTTAACGCGGAGCCAAGTGAGGATCAAGGTGTTACAGCTCTCGCTGCGGCAACAAAAGGAAAACACTCAGAAGTTGTAGAAGTGCTCCGCGCTGCAGGGGCCAAATCTTGAGGTGTGGCCGGCCTGGTATTAGGATGACCCGATGCACTGAGTAGGCAACGATATAATTCAACTAATCCAAACGTTGAAAGGCTGGTATTAAGCAAGGCTAAGAGCTCGTACTTGATGAGCAACGGGGGTGCCATTTTGTAACTTTCAGAATTACATGTACATGTAGTTTCCTTCCCGCTTGACCTTTACCTCAATTAGGTTTATGTAATCCCCTCGGTTTTGGTGTTTTTGGAATCCGTAGCTAAAGCATACATTCATGTAGTATTATTGAAGCAAATTTTGGGGGTAAATCTTACAAATATCATATATTAACACTACCTTTACTTTCTATTCGTAAGACATCAAGTACATAAATCATACATGAAGCAGTCACTATGCTACCATGGGTTATTAACAAAATTCCCTACTTGGGATTTAGCAACATGAAAAATCACTCATATTCCTATTAAGCCAGCTGATGGAGAATTGACATAAGGGTGCTTGGCATGTTGGATGTGGTTATTACTCAGTAGAGATATTTAGAACTATAAAATATTTTAAAAGTTCCCAAAAACATTCTCTATAATACCGGAACAGAGGCGTGTGGATTTGTTGTTCCACTAGCTTGCAGTTGCCGGGGTGTTGGGTCATTATATAAAACCATACCAGCGTTCTTATTCTGTAGTATCTGAAATATCACTGAGGCCTTTTTAGAATCAAATAATTAAACAAGAATTTGGGTGTTAAATTTTACCTCATGGCTCTTATATATAATCTTTATTCGGCAGTAATTTTCACAATTCTCCACTCTTTCTTTCTTCAAGAAAAAGGAGACAGGAAACAGCCTGAAGCCGTTTATATCTTATGTTTTCTTCCCTTCTATTTTGTTTATTTTTTTGACGACCAAATGGTGGCTATGGTTCATATTGTTAACGGCTGTATATTCCAAAGAAATTGGAGCTACGGCTCAACTACCTGTGTCTTAAGTAGCTTCGCAATACCTGTAAAGTAACTATAGTGATATGGGAAATCCCGTAAGATCTTTCGTCATGTTCATTAGACACAGATGGTTATCCAAGAAAACACAGCTCTTTTCCTCTTGGCATTGTGGCACTCCCGCCGTATGTTCCTTTGCAACAGTCCATTTACCATCTTCCGCCTTAAAGTTACCGTGTTCTTGCTGCTGCAGCGTTGCTTGCTTCTATATTCCACAAATTTCCACAATTAGTGAGGTCACCCCCTGAGTTGGTGGGGCTTCAACAAACCTCGTCTCGTCGCATCCTCCAACAACGCTGTATCCACCGCGTTTGCTGGTAGGTGTACATATCTCACCACACTACCTCTGATGAAAACACTTTTCACCGCTGACTAAATACAACTCGTAAATGATTAAAAGTTCTATTCCCGGGAGTCTTGTGCGCGTGGGTAGATACCAAATGGGGATACCGAGCTTCGTCGACAACGTGGATCTCGTCTAGCTTGATATTCAAAAACTGATCCACAGACTTGAGAGTTCCGCGGATTAAAAGGTCGTTTTTGAGCTCAATTGTAACCTAGACGACGTGAGCAATGAGAAAGGCGTGGGCGATTGCGGGGAGCATTGTACTTCATGGTCGACAAGTGTCTTGAAAAAACTGCAACGGTGTTAAATACAGAATTCTTAGTATTCTGAGTAGGGGTCAGGTACCTGAAGAAAAGCATATTTGGAACTCGGGGAAATTGTGGCAGGGAGCTATGTTCGTTTAGAGGTGAAAGAACAATAGTGGGGTTGTGTGACATGACGTCCGGGTAATGTGCTGTGGGCCTTAATTTTGAGCCCCAGAGACCTTGAGCAGGGATAACCTGCGCCATCATCCATGCGTTATCCGCTTGGTATGAACCGTGCGTATCTTGGGTACATACATGTACCCATTCAAAAGGTAGATACGTGGGTACACCGCGTTCTCTACATGTCTGCGCTCGAGCTCCTAACCCGCGATATATAGCACTTAAGGGAAAACTAAACTTAATTAAGAAAAAATATATCTTTGAATCTAGTTGTCTGAGAATTTCTTTGAGAGTCAACTGAGCATGTTGAAACGAGCTCATGGCCGCAATTTTGCGTTCTGAATGATGAGATTATGCTCAAATACGGACAGCAATACAAGTATACGTACAAATCATTAGAGCTTTATAGCGATTATCCAAAGGAAAGAAATGAATAGTATAGCGTAGTGTAATCAACGTCTTTTCCTTATGTCGTTATACATCTTTTTGTTTATGACGGATATATATATCAAGGACTTCAAGATTATTTCACCGCAAACCATCCGCTCATTTCCATAGACTTCATGACAAGCTGTTAACACGCCTTTCAGACATGAGGCATCCGCCAAATATGTACATTTCTAAGTCAATCCCTATTCTACCTACTGTGCTCATATCTACCTCCCCAAAGTACTCAAGAAGTTCTTTTCCTTAATAGCAGCCCTACTCTTCTTCCTCATCTCTCTCTTAACCTCCAATCTAGCTGCAAGCGCCTCCTCTGCACTGACCTGTACTTCCCCACCAATCTCCACCGTTGATGGTCTCATTGCCTTACTTAGCCCAGGCTTCGCACCAGGAATGTTTTCACCCACACCCCCAACCGCTGCTACGACTCGGGTGAACGGGTGGTTGGGAGAGGTGGTAAATGGGAGATCGATGGTTTGCTCAGTGATAGGAATGCGGATCTCTGAGTTGAGGGACTGAAGAGCGGCGACTTTTTCGGCGCGCTTTTTGGCGATTTTACGTTCCTTTTTAGATTTTGCTATGGGGTGTACTTTAGTACTGGATAGTTATACCGATAGATAAATAAGGGAGGACTCACAGTAAAGATCTCCTACTTCTTCTCCTTCTAGCCCATCCACAGTAGTCTTCTTATCCAGCAAGGACCACAGCCATTCAGGATACTCGGTGTCTTCCAGAGCAACTGGATCGCTCTTCCCTTTCAGGTAGTTGATATTCTTCAGCGGGGTTCCCGCCTTGGTTCCGCTAACCACTGTGATCTTTGGCTTCGCCGCGATCTTTGGTGCAGCAGGAGTAAGCGGTGTTGAGAACGGTTGTGCAGCCGACGTACTCGTAGCACTCGGCGGGCCCTCACCACCGGGGGTGCTGGACTGCAGTGGTTTGGCCTGGTTCACAACATTTGGGTTTGCAACGGAGTATGTCCGTACAGCTCTCCGCGAGACCGCCGGTTGAATTCGGCGAAGACAGAACATGCTGAGAGGCTCAATTGGCGTTAATTGGTGGTTATTTGCCGATTTTTTGATCTGTTGTAAGGTGCAAAGGAAAATTTGGAGTTTCGCATCGTCGTGATGAGTTATGCGAGTCACGCGCATATTTGAGACTGATATATGGCAGGGTCCACCCCACGGCGCAGCGGGGTTTGCTGCATGAGCAATACAAAAGCGGTTTAGGGCAGTGACATCCTAGTAAATCACGTCGCACACTGCAGCAGCGCGCATCACGCACAAGCGATATCAGGAAAGAAAAAAAAAAGCGACAGGAATTTTTTTTGCGAAATCTTGGCGCTTCCTAGGCTGCTGTGAAAAAGTTATTTCAACGCGACCTTTTCCCTCCTCCGCTCATTTCTCCTTCTTCCTTCATCACAAATTCTCATACTCCAAGACTGAAGTTTGCCGCACCGCAATTTGCATCTGAGGGCTTATAATCTCATATCTGAGGGCTCGTTCTGTTCAGTTGGCTTGTTGGCTTCCGAGGGCATAATCATATCAATCAATTTAACAATTGATTTTTGTGGGCACTGAGGGCTTCTTTCTGAGAGACTATAGAATCATCAAACCTTGACATCTTCTACTGAGGGTTTATTGGCTTTTGTTCCTGTCCCAGTCCCAATCTTCTTCTACACCAAACAATTCCACCTTTTCTTCCTCCCACCAACTCCCCCGCAACCACAATGGGTAAATCCGCCGTTAAGTCTGCCAACGGCAAGACCTCCAAGAAGGACGCCTCGAGCACCGTCAAGGCCGCCGCTACCACCAAACCCACCTCTTCAAAGTCCAAGGATATCGCCAAGAAGGCGAGCGCCGTCGTCGACAAGAAGTCCTCTAAGAAGGACAAAAAGAAGGCCCCCACCCCCGAATCTGAATCTGACTCCGAGGACTCCGATGACTCTGAAGACTCGGATGATTCCTCAGAATCCGACTCTGAGGAGGATACCAAGCCTGTCCCCAAGAAAGTCGACGCTAAGAAGGCCGCAGCCAAGGAGGAGTCTTCTGACTCTGAGAGCGATTCTGACAGTGACGAGTCTATGATGGATGCCCCTGCTGTCGTCACCAAGGAGGAGTCCGACTCCGACTCTTCTGAGAGCGACTCTGACTCGTCTGAGGATGAGAAGCCCACTGCCAAGAAGGTAGAAGCTAAGGCTGAGGTAAAGAAAGCAGCTGCTAAGGAATCTGTAAGTTACCAATCAAAATTTTGTCTCCTTGGGATTTATCCTAAACTCCTTTCTTTCCCAGTCCGATTCGTCCGACGACTCCGATTCAGACTCCGATTCCGATTCCTCTGACTCTGACTCTGACTCTGAATCTGAATCTGATAAGGCCAAGGCTTCCGACAGCGACTCCGACTCGGACTCGGACAGTGACTCCGACAGCGACTCCGATGATTCTGAGCCAGCTGCCGACTCCAAGAAGCGCAAGGCCGACACTGAGGCCGAGCCTACCGCCAAGAAGGCTAAGACTGAAAAGCCAGCCGCTGCTGCTGCCGACGAGAACTCCAAGAACCTTTTCGTCGGTTCCCTCTCATGGAACATTGACGAGGACTGGCTTCGTGGGGAGTTCGAGTCTTTCGGTACTATCTCTGCCGTACGCATTGTCACTGATCGTGCCACCGGCCGCTCTAAGGGGTACGCCTTCCCCTTTGTCTACTTCATTTGAATAATTTATTCTGACATAATACAGATTCGGATACGTTGAGTACGAAGACGCCTCTTCCGCTAAGGCCGCTCTTGAGGCTATGAACGGCAAAGAGCTCGACGGACGTGCCCTTAACATCGACTACTCCACTCCCCGCCCCGAGCAGGCCCCCCGCGAAAACCGCGCCAAGCAGTATGGTGACCAGAAGTCACCTGAGTCTGACACTGTCTTCGTTGCCAACCTTGCCTTCGATGCCGACGAGGAATCAGTCAAGGCTGAGTTCGAGGCTTTCGGTAACATCATCGGTCTTAGGATCCCTACCGACCCGTAAGAATGCCTACAATCCATTTGTATTTATGTATATTGATACTAACTATATTCAGTGACACTGGTAACCGCAAGGGCTTCGGGTACATCCAGTACGATTCTATTGACTCCTCTCGTGAGGCTGTCGAGAAGATGAACGGCGCTTTCATTGCCGGCCGTGCTATCCGCACTGATTTCTCCACTCCCCGTGACCCCTCTTCCGGCGGTGGCCGTGGTGGTCGCGATGGTGGCCGCGGTGGATTCCGTGGCGGTCGTGGTGGTGGTGACCGTGGTGGCCGTGGTGGTCGTGGTGGCGGGTTCCGTGGCGGTCGTGGTGGTGGTGACCGTGGTGGCCGCGGTGGTGGTGCCAGCCGCAACCGTGGTGGATTCGGTGACTTTTCGGGGTCAAAGAAGAAGTTCGATTAAATGCTACTGATTGATGATGCAAAAAAATGGGATGATGGCAGTGCGGGTTTCTTGGCTTGATATGATTGATGCCCATTACTTAATAACTACTACTACTGGGGGCTTGTGAGAATTTGTGTGTGCATCTGTGGGCATATATTCTTGAGGGTTTCTTGGTTCCATCCTGGATAAGCGTGTACGATATATGGCTGGCTGCAAAAAGTTTTTCTGTTTTCTTGGGTCTAATTTTTTTGTGTATTACTTTTTTTTCTTGATCCGTTTGCGGTCTTAAACCTGTTGGGGTAGGATTTGCAATTTTAACTGTCCTGAGGGCAGTTTAGTGGTGTACATAGAATCATGAATAGGGATAATATTCATATCATCCGAGTTACTTCTCATGCATGGTTTGAGGTTTTGGGTTGATGGATTATTATGTTGGTGTTCGATGCTGCCCTGATAATACTGATGAAGCCGGCTGTCCGCTCCAGAACTTTCTGTTCATCCCCCCAAAGTGCCAGCGCCATTGAAAAGGACCGGTACTCCCCCTCGCTCCCCTTGTTCACCCCACCCCGGCCTGACCTGCAGTTATTTCGAATACATGGACGCAGTTCGATGTTTCGGTAATAACTGAGGTAGGCCGAGAAATATTCATAACCCCCTTCCGGTACTACATATATCAACTTGCTGTTACCCACTTCGAACCCCGGCCGAGAGCTTATTTGTTGGCAACACCCACAACCCATGCAGGGAACCCATCATCTTCATGATCATCCTTTGATAAAGCTACAATACAGAACACACCTAGCAGATTTTGCAAAGAAAATTTGTGTTAAATCACTGACGGACCGACGAAACCTGTCACCACCAACAGCTTCTCTTTCCTCAACAACCGCCTGTCTCAATGAACTGGACTGGCGGTAGTCGAGCTCGAAGCGGCAAACCATCTTCCGACACAGCCCGCATTCAAAAAAGTTACTTTGCCAAAGTCCGTGCCAAAAACTCGACTCCTCTCGCCCATACAGCGCTATCTTTTGCTTTTACTGGGGATGGCACGTCAGTTTCTGGAGGTCGAAGGAAAGCTCGTGTTCCAGAGCTCGATATTATCCTAACCCAGGAATCACAAAAGAAAAGAAAGACCTGTGATACATCCCACGACCTGATGCCATTTGAAGAATTGGTCGAAGGGGCAGACAAATCTAGTGAGAATAGGACTCACAGAAGCAGTGATATAAAGACAAAGAAACAACGTTTATTGGAAAAAGACAGTTGGGTGTGTACAACACTGGCACGGCCACTTGTCTTGAAGCGCAAACAATCGGCGGTGAGTGTGCGTCCCCAGGAAAGGACTACACCTGAGATCTTGAGAAATCTTGAGCTGTTTCTAGATCCCATTAATCAAGAAGGCATTGGGGACGGCCATAAAGGCCTGCCCGAGGAGCTCAACTACTCTCGCTACCCTTCACTTGAGAGGAGGTCTGTTGAATCTGTAGGTAACGAGCATAGAGGGTTCAACGGTGGAGTCTTCCGTAATCTCAGTGATGGGGGATTCGTTCAGATTGGTGGTGAGAGCACCCAGTTTGGAGGAAGCAATCCAGAACAGCACGGATTATCAGGAAGAGAAATGTCTGATATTTCTGAGGAAACAATGCTATTTGATATTGAAGGGCGCCAGGAAGAGAATTCTCCACCCATGCTCCTGAAAGGTCTCAATCTGTTCGGCAAAAAGCATGATGTCGAAAATTTCAGGAGGCTTCCGGAGGGTACTGGGTTTAATCTGAATGATTGGAGTGTCAATCGGGATACGCAAATGCACGGTGGCTACCCCTCTTCACCATTGGCCCCGTATTCGCAGGTCCCTCGTGAGTGGGGGTTATCACCTCCGGCCCCGGTCAACAAATTTGTTTCCACAGGCCGGGAAAAGGGAAGGGACATAATTGAAGAAATTGATGAAGTGGCTACAGATATATGGACTAGCAGTCCATTTGAGGCCTTACCAGCTAAACCCGTCCAGTCCAAAGTCATGCCCTCTAGACTTGCCCAAATCACTCATAATGACCATGCTCAAGAAAGCTCCAGAGTAAAAAAACGAACGTGTAGGGAATACTTGTCGAATGATAGATTTACCCATAGAAACAACAACCTCTTAGGCCGTCTAATTCAGGAGGATGTCCAGCAGACGCAGAATCAGTCTTTAATTGCGTATGCATCCTCTGGAAGCTCATCTGCTAGTGATGATGAAGGCGAAGAATGGATGCTTGGTTCAAATATTTCCCCTAGATCATCTCAAGGAAGAAAAGTCATTGATTCAATACCTACCAGGGAAGCTCAAGATGGATGGGAAATGTTTTTAAAGGACCACACAGTCAATGAAGAGGGTATAGTGGATGAACATCAGGAGTCAAACCAACTGTACGGGCAAGAGCATTCGGCAGAGTTTGACGCTCTAGAGGAACATCCAGAGCGCGAAAACCTGGGAGAAATCTCTCCTCAGATTGCCAATGAGTGCGATGGAAACGTCGAGAGCCAGGCAAATCAATCACAGGATTTTATCAGAAGCTTAAACTTAGAATATAGAGAGGCGTCGGAAGTGCCTTTGGGCGATATACCAGTGAAGGCTCCTCCTTTGGTAAGTGATGAAGACAAGGAAGAAAACCGGAGAGAATTTCTTAAATCTCCACAAGCTCAGTCGGGTGACAATGACACGGAGGGGAAGAAAACCGTTGACCAGGAAGTTACCATAGAGAAACCTGGTAATACTCTCCCCAAAACCAATGTCAGGCCGAAGCACCAACTAAGTGTTTTGCCACAGTAGATACAAAGCTCAATGAGGAGAAGGAGCCAGAAAGAACCCTCGAATTCGACAAAGATGAGGACAATGCTTGGAGGGCATTCGTATTTGCTGGTCTCGATGACGAAGTCGAGCCAGAACTCGCACCACCTAAGCCACCGGAACCAATTCGCCGGCGCACAACAATGCCGCTGAAATCATCCTTGAAGCCTCCAAAAGTTATATTATCCTCTAGCTCAGATCTGGAACCTGAACTCCCGGTCAACTGTAGTCCGAAAGAAAACACCTACGCCCCTTCAATGGCTGGCGCTACTGTGGGATCGGGATCGGGCCCCAGCTCAGAGGGTACTAGTTCAGTAACTGGTAGCTCACCTATAGCTCAAAAGACGTCAAAGTTCTTCAACTCTGGACATAATATAGCTTCTTCACCACCTACAGTTCCGGCAGGAACTGCGCCCATAAGGTCGAGGAGCATGCTTCCGCTCGGCTGGAGGGGACAGGGTAATTTGCACTTGAGAAGTCAGAAGAAACTTTCAAAAAGAGAGAGGGGTGTTCGGGAAGATCCGATAGAGAATTATGATGGAAAAAAGGCTGCGGAAGAGGACTTTGAGGATATTGAGGATTGGTAGAAGTTATGCTTGCTCCATGTTGTCGTTTTTAAAGAGCTATGATATGCAACGAAAGATTATTTATGCTGATAGTATAACCTGATTATCATGAAGGAACTTATTTTACACTAAAGAAAGGTTAATCTAGTTGCTGTATGCCAATACACACTACCATGACGATACTTTTACTAACTCTCGCTCTCACTCTTTACCAGCGTACAGCCAAGCTATCCATTACCACCTAGGTTCAAAATCTAACCAGTACCTTGTAAGTAGATGTGCACTACCTAATACGAAATAAGGAGTTCAGCCGTGGATGAGATGGTCTTGATCACAGACCATCACTCGCGTGCTTTCTCCATTCTCTCTCATCTGCCATGGCTTCAAAACTCTCAAGCTTAGTCTACCGGAAAACTCAAGATATTCCGTAAGTATAACAAATCAGTGCCGTCATCCAGTAAGGCCACGAGCCCACCGTAGAGCCAAAGCCGATGATAACTTTATGAACCATCACTCGGTCCTAAAATACTGAGGTTCTTTCAAGACATGTGCATCAGTCTTATTCGCAAAGTGTAAGTGGGTGAGGACGTGGCATATGGGGTAGGGCGTGGGTGGTGGGCCGGTACAAGTGCATCATAACGACCCAGAAAGATGCGCAGTGTAGCGAATTACGTGTGGGTATAAGGGACACCAAAAGAGCGGAAATGCACTTACAGAACGGTGTGTGTGTGTGAGTATATGTATATGTAGGTAATCTACGCACATCGCGCCGCAATACCACGGTGTGATGGCTCTGGGTCGAATCATGAACTATCACTCGAGCATGTTTAGCCCCCCCCGGGAACTCATGCGGGAATGCGGCCGTTGTCGCCGCCTGTGTGGTTAGAAGTACATAGGTCTGTCACAGGAGTGTTTGGAATTGTTGGATATGCGTCGTTTAAGGCAGTAAGGTTACGGTGTGTAATAGATGGAGGGAGGGCACGCCGCCAAGCGGACTCGTTCTTAGGACTGGGCCATGAAAGTCTCGAATTAAACGGTGTCATGGAGAACAATACTTATACCTATGGGATGGATACATATCTCGAAAGCAACACACATCAATGCACTATCACAGCTTTCTTCAGAGTAGGCCCATGATACCTTCCCCCACCAGACAGAGAGGGAGAATGAAAAAAAAGTTCACAACACTGCTTGTGTTGCTACGTCTTTTCTACGTCCGGTCCGGTGGGGGGGTTGAACGCTCGCAGCTGTGAGACAGAGTGAGACCTCTGTACCGCTCGACAATCCAACCCCATGCTGACTATGATTGCGTTAGTGCTGTTGGCTGCATGTGGGCTCTCTCTCTCCTTTACGCTAGCTTGGCATGGTTTCTATGGCTTTTGATTGAACTGGCGACGGTCGTGTCTGGTTTGGGGAGGGGGGTGCCAGGTGTAATGATTTAATAGACAGGAATTGAAGAGCCTCTATCCCCCCATATGCCCCGATCACTGGGTTTGGTTCAAGAGAGAGTATATATTTGTTGTATTTGTTGCCAGTAATTAATCTGGCTGCTTGGAAAACCCGAGTCCGTTCAAGGCGAGGGGATTGTAGTGTGCGAGGTCCATCGGCTTCGTGGGAGTACATATGTCTGCCTCGAACTGCCTCGAGGCAAATACACCGAGGCAAGGCAAGGCATAAGGCACCTCAACCTCTGGGCCACATTAGATAGGATATCAAGACCTATTTTCTCTGCTTCATTTTTATATATTGGAGCTATGATCGCGCCGTTTTGCAGGCTGGTGGTTTTTGGTAAGGGAACTATAAGACTATTTACAAAAACGAGAAGGGTAAAAAAACAAAAAAAACAAGCCATCTATACTATCTATTAGGCATCGACCTCCATCCCATCGCTTTCCTTCTTTGCCTCCTCCTCCTCCCCCTCCTCTTCTTCCTCCGCCTTCTTTGGCTCTTCTGCCCTTTCCCCAGCAGCCTCCTTCGCCTTCCTCGCCTCCTTCTCCATCTTCTTCATCTGCCTCTTCGACACCTTCGGCGCCTGCTTCTCGCCCGTCCACTTCCACATCTCGCCCGGCCCCACAACCGGCGCATCCACCAGCCCCCTCGTGGTCGCCCGCACCGTCTCCCCCGCCGCCCTCTCATCCTCCTCACTCCACTCCCTCGGCAGCACCGCAAACACCAGATAGCTCGTGTGCGTCTTAATCTCCTGCTCACCGCGCGTGACCAGCCGGCCCTCCGTGACCCCCTCCATATCCATCTCCCTCGACGCCGCCTCCTCCGCATCCATCTTCTCGCCATGCAGGTCCTGCTCCTGCCGCCGCACGCGGTAGTCGTTCATCCACTGCAGGCGCCTGAGCGCCTCATCGACGTTCCGCGGCCCCGCGCCGTCCGTGTAGCTCTTGCGCTGCGCGCGCCGCACCTCGAGCTGCCGGTGCTGGATCTCGTACATCTCGACCTCGACCCAGCCGAGCTTGCGCAGCACCGACACCGTGCGCGTCACCTGCTCGATGCACGGCGAGAACGTACATATGCGGACGGTCTCCGTCGCCGCCAGCGCCGACGGGATAGCGGGGTCCGCCGTCTCCGGCGCGGGCGTCGTCGGCTCCGTCGTCGCCACCGGGCCCGGCGACGGCGTCGGCGTGAGCCCCGTCCGCGTCGGCAGCGGCGGCGTCGCGCGCACCCGCCTCGTCAGGTGCGGCAGCGCCAGCCACGGCGCCGGCAGATCCAGAAAGATCGCCGTGGCCCCGGGGCTCGCCCCATCGACGAGGAACCCATCCTTACACACATCCCTATGCACGACGTCGACCAGTGTGTCGAGGCCGTGGCGGGCGATCTCGTCGCGCAGCTTCCCAGCGCGCTCTTCATGGAACTCGAAGCTGCACACGCGGCCCTTTCGGGCAGCACTGACGGCGCCGCGGTCCTCGCGGCCGTCCGGGTAGCCGCCGTAGACGGCGCGGACGGCGGCGTGCGTGAAGGAGCCGCTGCCGGCGCCGGCCTCGAGGAGCACGCTGCCCGGGCGCACGCACAGCTTGTGCAGCACGAAGGCGCTGTCGGGCGTGTAGACGACCTGCGTGCGGTGGGGGAGCGAGGTGGTCCACAGCTCGGCGGTGGGGGCGAGGATGTGCAGGAAGCCGCTGTCGGCGGGGGCGCCGCTGCGCTTGCGCTTGTGGCCGGGGCCGGTGGCGCGCACTTGCGAGCCGTAGGGGATGTTGGTGAGGGTGTCGTGGGGGAAGTCGCCGAAGCGGGTGTTGAGGATGCCGTCGGCGGAGCGGGCGCCGGAGCGGGAGGAGCGCTCGGCGGTGGAGGGGGTGGAGGGGGCGGCGGAGGGGGACGGCGCGAAGGAGACGGGGATGAGGAGGTCGCGCTTGAGGTGGATTATGGACGGGCAGGCGGAGGTGCCGATCAGAGGGGGAGGGGCGAGGAACGGCGAGGGCTCGGGCAGGAGGGGGACCGGCATCACTTCAGCAGTGGTGGCAGCAGTAGTAGCACCTGTAGATGCAGATGCAGATGCACTTGTAGACGCTGTAGACGCAGCTGATATCGGCTCTGGACCTGACTCGGCCATTGTGGTGTTGGGGTTGTGGGAATTAATTGGAGATGTTCGGAGGTGAGTCGGTCGAGTCTTCAACTCTCGCACTCGGTCTGCAAAAGTTGAATCGCGACGCACTGGGGAGGCTAACTCTGAAGAGGGCAGGGTAACTAGCTGCCTGGCCAGGGTCCAACTAACGAGTAACACTGGCCGGGGGGATTTGCGTCGGGATTCATGCAGAGAAGTGGCTGTGGCGGCGGCGGGGAAAGCAGTCAAGGTGGAGTCTACTTCTTGCTTTTGGCGTTCAAATGAGTGGTCTCGGGTCAGAAACGTTGAATGATGTTTTTAGGAGAAGATGGCATCGAGTGATATTCTGTGATGTGAGTCGGAGTTGGATATGACGGTGTCTTTCATGTATAGTTCTTGTTCAAAAGTCCCGGGACAACGCAACCGCGAGTTGCTACGGGGGCTTGTCCCAGGATTTTTGACATGGAGGTATACATAAGTTTCTATACTCAGCAGCTACGAAGAGCCAAAAAAGGGACAAGTACCTCTTCGTGGAGAACTTTCACAAACAACTAGATGCCAATGGGAAAAGCCATGCATCCATTGAAGCCTCTGCAGCCTTCACTGCCTGATAAAAACTAACTCTACTGGCTACGCTCATGTATGTACCCACTCCTCTAATCTACACTACACATATCCTACACCCACACCTCTCTACCTCTTCAAAGCCTCCGCCCTCTCCCTATGCCACTCCGGCACCACCGCCCTCACGCACACCTCCCTCCCCTCCTCCCCCACCACAAACTGATCCCCACTCCTCCACTCCCCCTCGCCGCCCTCCCCCCTCGTCATAACCCCCAACCTACACAGCGCCAGCCCCACATTCCCCACCTGCCCCAACACGACCCCAGGCGCCCTCGCCTTCCTCCCCCCCACCCTCCTCACCGCCGCCCCCACCTCCACCTCCGGCACCTCCACACCCGGATCATACACCACCCTCCCCCCCTCCCCCTCCGCCTCCCCGTCGCCGAACGGAACAGGGCTGAACTGAACAGGCAGCACCCGCCGCCGCACAACACCAGTGTGGTACGTACGGATCGTCAGCTCCTGCCCAACGTAGCACCCCTTGCGGTAATCAATGCCGCCCATATAGTCCACGCAGCTCTGCTGCGGCAGCGCGGTCCCCTCCGGCATCTCTGCGCCCTCGGGAACGCCCCAGAGGTACCGGCGCAGCCTGTACTGGTCCAGCTGCACCTCCGGGATGCCTGCATCTACATCTGCGGCGGCGGCGGCGGCGACGACCCGGTGGCCGAAGGACGGCGCGCGGTTGTCCGCGATTTGGATACTGCCGCTGGAGAAGGGGGCGGGGGCGGGGGCGGGCGCGGTGTCGTCCCAGGAGGCCCACACGGCGAGCTCCGAGGGGGCCACGAGCGAGAGCGATACTTTACTACGGAGCCTGCGGCGCTGCAGGGTGGCGAGGAGGTGGGGGGCGGTGGGCGCGGAGAGCTCGATCAGGTAGCGGGGCTCGTGGGTGGGGGAGGGGTAGATGAATGCGTCGGAGAGCACGCGGCCCTGCAACTCAGTCAGGCGGGGCGAGGGGAGGGGGGAAGGGGGGAAGGGGGGGGGGGAAGTACCTGCGAGTTCAGGAAGCACGAGTAGGTGCTGTTTCCGTCGGGCGGCGGGACCTGCGCGGTTACGAGGCCTTGGAGGAATTTCGGTGCGTCGGTGCCGGCGACGGAGAGGAGGGCGCGGTCGGTTAGGCGGGCGAGTCCTTTCGGCGGGGGCGGGGGAGGGAGCGTGCTGTATGTGCGGCGGAGGAGGAGGATAGAGAGGGGCGGTGGTCGGAGGATCATGGTGGGTGTCGGGATGAGGGATGAGGGATGAGGGATGAGGGATGAGGGATGACGTTGGTGGGGCTCTGGGGTGCGGGGTGCGGGGTGCCTGGCGGGCTTATCGGTGGCAGATGCAGATGGTGGGTTGGGGGGTTTTGGGGAATGGGGATTTTGTGCAAGGTGAGTTCTCCACTCTCACAAGAGCGAACTCGGGGGATATATCGATCGATACCCAGTCAATGGGTGCAATATTGCTGTTCACGGGCTTGGTGTCTTTCACACCACTCACCCCAGAGACTCGGACTTCTAATAACCAACCACAGGCTGCTAACATAGGAGGAAAAAATGGAGATTTGTAAGCTTCTGCAATTGCAAGACTCAACTGCAACACACGAATTAATGAATTGCAAATGGTGTTTGTCTTGATGGAACCTTTGAGTTACCTCCCGTTCCCGGATCGCCACGGCATATAATGTATCTCTTGGCTTTAAGATAACGGCTATAATGGTAGAAAGCAGAGCTGCAGATTGCAAAGTACAGCCTATGCTTGTATATACTAATGAATTACCTCAATGGCTGTTATTGTGTTTTGAACAGTTTTACCTACCTAGAACTGTAGAGCTTTTGAGTTCTCCATGCAATGGCCCTCGGGAGGACCGTACGGGCTGAAGCCTTATCAACTTTAAATAGTCCTAAAACAGTTTATGAAGAAGAGGCCAAGATGGTTTTAAGAATGGACTATTCTCTAACTAGGTATCTACAAAAAGACAAAAGAAATACACTAAAGCTCTAATTACCCCTCCCACCCCTACCTCCTCTTCTTCCCCTTCCCCCCCCTCCCCTCCCCCCCACTCCTCCCCTCAATATCCATGACATCCCTCCTACTCAGCACCAGCGTCCCATTCCTAAACTTGCCCACACTAGGCCCAAACCCCCTCTCCCTTCTCTTCACCTCCTTCTTGACCCTCACCTCCCTCTCCAGCACAACCCCCGCCTCCCGCGCCTCCCGCCGCCGCTTCTCCTCCTTCGCCTTCCGCGACTTCTCCATCCACACCCGGTCCGCCATCGGCATCTTGTGCTTCGTCAGGTCCTTCCCGCCCAGCGCCTGCACGCGCGCCTCGATCGCCTTGAGCCGGTTCTTGCCCGTGGCCTCGAGGTTCTCGTCGAGCAGGTGGGACTCGCGCAGGAGGCGCTGCAGCGCGAGGTCGTTCTGCAGCAGGTGGGCTTCGGCGGTGGTGTCTTCTTCGGAGTCGGGGTCGGAGGAGGGCCTTTTGGCGGGGGCGGTGGGGGCGTCGGGGGTGCGCAGCGGGGGCGGTTTGGTGGAGATGAAGGGCTTGAGGATGCTTTTGGGGAGCTTGGCGGTTTTGAGGAGGGGGTCGCCGCAGGTGAAGTGGATTACCTCTGGGGCAGGGGCTGCGGTGCGGTGTTAGTGCTGTATGTAGTGTAGATATGTAGAGAGAGAGAGAGAGAGAGAAACGAACCTGCGGGTTTCTGGTCACCCTCTTCTTCTGATAGTCCCTCCCACTCACTACCACTGTCATCTTCACCCTCGTCTTCTTGGACAATCTCAGTCTTGGCCCTTTTTCCCGGCTTCGAGCCCTTGACGGCTTTCTTGGGCTTCTTGGAGCCCTTCACCTCCGGCAGCGGCGCAAACTGGCTCTCGAAGTGCCGCCGGAAGATCTCCATTGCGTCGAGGCCGTCTGCCGTGTCTTTGGTGTCTGGGTCCTCTTTGGGCGCGGCGCGTTTTCGCTTTTTGAGTATTGCGGGCATTGTTGTTGTTGTTGTGGTGGTGGTGGTGGTGGTGCGGGTGGGAGGTGGTGGGTAGGTGGGTTTTGCGGGTTTTGCGGGTTTCGAGGTTGGCTTGGCTGTGAGGCTCTGTCTGTGGCGGAGGGGAGGTTACACAAGCAAGGGTATCGAGTCGGAGGTGCAGCGGGGGTTTATGTGTAGATTTTTGGAGTAGCGATGGTTTTTTCGCTTGTTTGTGCGTTTCTCCGTGGTGATAGAGTTACGCTTGTGCTGTCGGTTGCGGATGTGCAACATGAAACTATCAGAGCCGCGTGAGCACCTTCACTTCACTTCACTTCACTTCACTTCAGCAGCAGAGCTCCCCAGGCCGTAACGTTCCCGCCCCCCAACTAAAGACATCCCACTTCGCAATCGGGCTTGGTGGCTGGGTTCCGCTGATTGGGCCGCGACCTCCCAAGCAATTAATTGGCTCGCTGAGCTGCTGCTACAGACAACATGGCCGCGACACCGGCAAAGGTGAAGAAGCTGGCGGACCAGCTGATTACCTGCATCACCGGCCTGACGCCCGAGGTGTGCTCTCTCCCCCCCCCCTCCAGCTCGCAGTACAGAGAGGGTTGGAATTGACTGCGGCGAACTGTGTAGGAAGATCCCGCCAACTTTGGGCTCTGCCGTGTAGGTCCTTTCCCACGCTATCTACCAAGAGGACCCGGACTGACGGCGGAGTCTGTGTAGGAATTCACCCTCCGCAACTTCAAAGGCTACAAATTCGGGCGCACAAACCAGTTCGACGTAAACTCAAAGCTCTCCGGGTACACCCCCCCCCCCCCCCCCCTTTCTCTTTCTACCCTCCCCCCGCAAGCTCCCCAGAAGCCAACTAACACACCCCCGCGCAGTCTTGAAGAGAAATTCCGGATCTACAACCGCGACGACATCGCCGACGCCCTGCGGTCACGCCTCAATGAGCTGCCCGTGTCGACATTCACGCCGGAGCTACTCTCGCTCTTCCTAACGCTCTCTGACCGGCCGCTGGAGAACGCGCACCTGGACGATCTCGATGCGCTGATCCGGCCTGACCAGGGGCCGAAGGGGCTGACGTGGGCGGACATCATCGCGGAGGATCCCTTGGAGGGGGAGATCTGGAAGGATGTGGACTTTGGGGCTGAGAGCAGCGATGAGTGGTCAGATGACGGGGAGGAGGATGTGTGGGAGCGGAGGGAGGTGGAGGGCGAGGGGAGGAAGAGGAAGGGGCGGTGGGCAGAGGAGGAGGAGGAGGTGGGGAGGGGGGCGAGCGTGGAGGGGTTTATACTGAAGGGGGATAGGGAGGGGCTGGAGGCGCTGAAGAGGGCGCAGTATTGGGATGTGGGGCGGAGGGTGAAGCCGGTGGAGGGGGAGATTGATGTTTCGCTGGGGGCGGGCGGAGGTGGTTTGTCCTGCTGTTCTGTGAAATGTGTTGGGTTTATGCTTATGGGATTGCGCAGTGGAAAACATATCAATCATCTCCGAAGTCCAGGCTGCCCGTGAAGTCCTCTTCATGCTCCTAGGCCATCCGTGCGTCCTCTTCCAAAGCGTCAATGGTATAGTCTCGGTCGAGACTCCCGCGCTGTCTACCCAGTTTGCACTCCGGCATACGTCCTTGCTCGCCTTCAAAGCGCTCCTCAATTGGTATGGCGAGAAAGGCACGAATCTCAACCGTATCCGTTACTTTACATCGATCCATAATATCCAGATCTCACCAGAACAACAAACCTTCACTTCTGCCGTCGCCGAGAAGCTATTCCTCCTCGACCAGCGCCTCGTCGAGATCGAACAACGCTTCGTCGGAAATGCCACCACCAACCAGATCGCCTCCCTCCTCTCTCTCCAGTCCGAGCTCGAACCTCTGCTCCACCCCTACATCCTCCTCTCCAACATAATAGACGCCATAACCAACCCCCCCACCCCCATCCCGCAAACCACCCTCGCCACCTTACACCTCGAGCACCTCTTCACCTCCGCCTGCACCCTCCAATCCACCGGCGACCACCCCACCTTCACCTTCATGACCTCCCTCTTCTTCACCAGCCTACAAACCTACCTCCGCCCCATCCGCGCCTGGATGGAGCGCGGCGAGCTCCGCCCCGCCGAGATCTTCCTCGTCTCCCAAACCCTCACCGCCGACCAAGTCGAGCCCGGCGGCCTCTGGCACGACCAGTTCACCCTCCGCATGGACCCCGCCACGGGCGCCCTGCAAGCCCCGCGCTTCGTCCACGCCGCCGCAGCCCGCATCTTCATCACCGGCAAGAGCGTCGTGTTCCTGCAGCGCCTCGTCGCCCACCACCTGCCGTCCGCCATGCACTCGACCGACGCGGCCAACGCGGCGCGCGAGAGCGGCGGCGTGGAGCTGACCGTGCCCGACGGCGGCTCGCTCGCGCCGTTCCAGGACTTGTTCGGCGCGGCGTTCGAGGCGTGGATCAACGACCGGCACCACAGCGTGAGCTCGCGGCTGCGGGACATCCTGTACCGCGACTGCGGGCTGTGGCGCAGCCTGGATGCGCTCGGGTGCGTGTATCTGTGCCGCGATGGGTACCTGTTTGATCTGCTGGCGGGCGGCGTGTTTGAGAAGATTGATAAGGGCGTGGAGACGTGGGGGGATCGGTTCCTGCTCACGGAGATGGTGCAGGGCGTGTTTGCGGGGGTGGGGTGTGTGGAGGGTGTCAGGCTGCGGATGAGGGGGCGTATGCAGGGGGGTGCGACGGTGAGGGAGGGGAGGAAGAGCGTGAAGATGTTGAAGGGCGTGGAGGTGGACTACGCAGTGAGTCTTTCCAGCACTATCATCTTTTTTTGAACTATAAGACTAATAGTGTATAAGTTGCCATGGCCAATCATGAACGTCATCAACAAACAAGCCTTCGAAGTCTACAAAGCCGTCTTCACCTTCCTCCTGCAGATCCGGCGCGCCCAATACGTGCTCAAGCGCCTCACCGCACTCAAGCACGACTTCCGGCGCCTCGGCGAGCCCGGCGAGGGCGCGCTGTACTACTCGCTCAAGCACCGGCTGCTGTGGTTCTCCAACACAATCTACTACTACCTCACGGACCTGGTGCTCCTCCCGCAGACGGCAAAGATGCGCGCAAAGATGGCCAAGGCCCTCGATGTCGACGGCATGATCAGTGTCCATAGCGACTTTATAAATAAGATCAAGGAACAGTGCCTTTTAGGGCCTAAGGTAAGTTGCCAATCACCACCTGTCACTCTATACGGACTAACCACCCCCGCAGCTGGCTCCAATCCACCAAACCATAATCACGCTCCTGGACCTCTCGATCGCCTTCTCGGACGCGCAGACCGCCCGCGCCACGCGGCTGCTCTCGCACTCCAGCGAGGACCTGTCCATGCGCGACATCCCTTCGCCGCGGCGGCGCACCAACCGCTCCTCTGGCTCTGACTCGGACTCTGACGACGACGATGACGAGGGAGAGGGGGAAGACGGGATTGACCATGACACGAGCTACCAGGACGAGGGACATAAGCGGCGCATGGTGGCGGCGAGCGTCAAGTTTAATGCCATGCTGGACTTTGTGAAGGCGGGGCTGCGGGGCGTGGCGAGGGCGGGGGTGATGCCGCATTTGGAGACGCTGGCGGAGGGGCTGGATGGTGTGGGGTGGGAGGGACGGTATGGGTAGTGGTAGTTAGTGGTTGGGATAATTTTTATTTGTTTTTCCGTAGAGGCTGGTTTAAAGCTGCGTTCTGGTGTATGGAAATCTTTATTGTACGGATATCATTACTCGGGTATCATTGCTCGGATTTCATTATTCCGATATATCCTTACTCGGGTAAGCTTGTTTTTTTTTTTTTTTAGAATTAGGCTGTCTTGTAATGCTTTTATATGTTTCTCACTACGTACCTACATTGCATGCAATTCACAACAATCATTGACCCCGAACCCTGTCGCAGCTTCTTGGCAAAACGCACCTAACCAGTCCACAACACCCAAGCTCCCAAGCTTCACCTCACCTCCCATACCTCCCGCCACCCACCATCTCCCCCACCACAACACAATGGTACCCCCCCCCCCCTTCTTTCTTCTTTTCCCCTCCCCTATACCACCCCCAACTAACACCAACCTAGTCCAAAGACTCCTCCCACACCTACCTCCACTTCGCCAGCGGCCGCATCGCCGACCTCTTCGAAGACTTCTGCCGCGACAAGCTCCCCCACGACGACGTCTACGTGCCGCCGCACCACCAGCCCATCAACCCCGAGGACGAAGACGACGGTACCTCCCTCCCCCCTCCTTCCTTCCTCCCTCCCCCATTCACCCACTGACGGACATTGGTGCTAGTGATCCCGGACCAGCACGCGGCCTTCGGCATCGCGCAGGCGCAGCAGAAGAAGCATGAGCCGGCGTGGAAAGACCTCGGGCTGGGCGAGCTGATGAGCAAGGGGCCGAAGGAGGGGGAGGGGGCGCCGAGGAGGCTGCCGAGGTAGTCTATAGTGGCTTGGGCTGGGTTTGGTTGGGTTGTAGTGCTTTCTGGCGGGGTAATGGTATGAGCTACATGGTTTTTTTTTTTTTTTTTTTTTTTTTTTTTTCGTGAATTGTGATTGCGGGTTTGAAGTGAAGTGTGTGGGGTGAATTGTGATAGATGGAGCCGGCCCAGGTGTTATGTACGATACGTATACGGCAATCCCATGATACTAATTCTTCACTTAGAGCCATAACTATGTATGCGGGTGCCAGGTCTGTCATTGCCTCCGGAAGATGTCTACTTGTGGGTTTCCTTTTTCTCTAGAAGGGTTTTAAAATTAGAAGATTGCGGCGGTTGAGGAAACTGATTCGCCCAAAATGTTGTAGTGGTTAAACCTAACGGTATTTTTGCTGAAAGCTAGGTCTGTCGGCAGATTCCTAGTTTGACAAAAAGGGCAACCTAAATACATGGTAATACGACCAACTATAAATATGAATATCACGGGTTTTGATTGGCACGATCATACTTGTTTCCATCATGAGATGCCCATATTTGAGGCTGCAGGACGCTAAGCCCTACACAAATTCCTACTAATATTTGCAAGATGATGATTCGCCAGGGAACAGAGCGAGCACGTCGACCGCCGGTAAGACATATAATTTTTGGTTAGAAAATCGCTTTTGTACCCACGATCTTATTTACAAAAAATCCGCGACTTGCGCTCCTTTCCTCATTTTTTGTTCCCCAACCACCCCTCCGGTTACGTTAAATCATCAAAAAACTCCAAGATTAGAAAACAAGAAATTTTTTTCCACCAAATGCATAAGCATTCCTACAAATGAAAACAGAACAAGGAAACGCCAAAAAAACTCTGTGATTTTTACAGGGAGTTATGACGGGTGTGGTATAGGCATAGGTCTTAACAGCATTTGGTAGCGTCCTGGTCGATCTCAGATCTCAGCTTCTTGGCTGCTGGCTCACCATCGACAGCCATCTCATCGATTACGGGAGCAGGGTGGTCGAGACCCTTGAGTAATGGGGTGTCCTTGCCGGTCTTGATGTTGAAGTGGTATTGACGGATGATGGAATCACTAAATAGGTCCACGTTAGAAACATTCAAGATAACATCTCAGGGTTTGCAAGGGTAAACATACACATCATCAACGTTCAATGGCCTGACATCAGCAAGCTGCTTGATGTTGGCAGTGCACTCCTTGCATTGCGCATCGGTCAAGTCCAAGTTCAATTGTTCAACACGGCTCTTGATTGCGTTCCATCCGGTCAACCTAGACGCGAAGTGCACGTATCTGGTGAGACCGAAGTCGGCGGGGTTGATAATCTCGTAGGTACTTGGGTTGGCAAGGATGGCCTTTGCGTGAATACCGGCCTTGTGGGTAAATGCGCAGAAACCAGTGATGTAGTTGTTGAAGGGGATGTTGACCTCAACGGCCTCAGCGACAAGGTTCTCAAGGTCACGAAGCTTGTGGAGCTTGTATTTGCCCATAACGTAGTCACGGTCGGCAACGATCATGCGAGCCATCAATCCACCGAGAGGGGTGATACCGTTACGCTCACCGATACCGAGGACGGAGGTGTCAATGTGGGTAGCGCCAGCCTCAAGAGCGCAGTAGGCGTTGGCAACGGCACATCCGGTATCGTTGTGGAAGTGAGTCTCGATATCGCAAGAGACGACACCACGGAGAGTTCGGATGAGGTCGTAGACCTGGCGGGGAGAAGCACATCCAACAGTGTCGGCAATACCCTAGGTTTCCCTGTGTGAGTCACATGTTTGGTAGAAAGCTTTATCCTTGGAGAATAGGAAGAGCTTACAACACGGTTCACACCGATCTTGTCGACGGTGCGGTAAATGCTGAGGAGATCGACGAGATCTGATCGGAATGAGTCCTCTGAAGAGAAACGAATCTCGATGTTGTGCGACTTGACGAACTCAATGACCTCAATGGCAGCCTTCGCAATGTAGTCCATATCCTTTCCGTGAGAGTGCTCACGGAGGAAAGATGAAGTTCCAATGACGACGTCGACACCATCAACACCAGTCTGGACAGCAATTCGAGCATCATCCATGTGGCATCGGATGTGAGTCAAGATCTATATCACCGGGAGTTAGTATAAGCTTTCTGTGTTTTTCCTGTAAAAAAAAAAAAAAGGAACACAAACCTTAGCCTTCAATCCGAGCTTGCAAATAGCCTCACAGTCAAGTCTTGACTGCTCTGACGCAGCAGGGGAGGTCAATTCGATCTAAATCCAAATCGTCAATAAAGTGTTCTAAGCTAAAGCCTCGGTAGCTCCGGTATCTCCGGGTAATCGGGCGGGGGAAGCCGAATGTTCAAAAAAAAAAAGTGAAGATGAAGTGACTCATACGTAATCAACACCAAAATCGTCCAGCGCTTTGGCAATCTCAATCTTCTTAGCAGTGTCGAAAAAGGCGTTGGCGAATTGCTCGCCCTCTCTCAATGTGCTCTCAATGATCTTGAATGAGCCAACATTGCTAAGGAAGTCCGGTACAGGCTGGTAGGGGTTTCTGGTGTTAATTGGAGGGCGCTGGGTGCGGGATTCTGGGTCAACTGCCTGGAAGGCATCCTCTACGGTTGATTGTTAGTATTGAAAGTTGACAGGAGGAGCCAATTGAGCAATCAGGGACTGTGGAATTTTCACACAGCAAAATCTGACGGAGGAGGGGAGCTATACTGTTTGGGGAGCCGTTAGATTCGTTAGCGGCAGGAGGCATGATGGAATGTGATTCTTCGAGATGGATTTTTATTGATGTAAGGGAGCTTTGGGTTGGGAGATTATATCTAAAGATTGAGGTGGGATGTGGTTGTGTTTTTTGTTGGTGTTGGGCGATGAAAAAAGGGAAGCCAGAGGACCTTATATAACGAGGGCCACTCTCTGGGCAAGCAAAGCAGTACGGTAAGCAGTGTGGAGAACGGGTGCAAAAACTATGACTCGTTCGAATTGGGCACGCTTTATTTTTCCCAATCTATCTTTGTAATTGATGTGATAGAGCCAGGATCTATTTCTCTCTTGGTGGGGATGCGGGGGACAATAAAGAACGAGCAGCGCTGCAGAGGTATGAAAAAAACCCAGACAAAAAAAAAAGAGCACTTTTTTTTTTGATCCTCATGTACTACATTTCCTTGGTTACCACTTCCGTTTGCAGCCTAGCTCTCACCTGAAAATTTCAAACCCAACCGATGCCGTAATTGCAGACCCTTGCTGGATGAATTCTTTTTGTCCGGGGAAACACCCAATTGTTTGAGGGTTAGGGATATATTGCGCAAAACAAGGGTCTATTTTTTCCACTGCGATGAGCACAAGACAAGGCAGGGGTAGCTTCCGACACGAGCGAGCATCACATGTATCGAATTCATCTTATCGAAGAGCCGCAATCTCTACCTATCATCGAGCTACGGAAGAGACCCTTCACTTGCTTGTTCAATCATTTGCTTTTTTGATGAGTAAGCAACCGTGGCCTAGAACCGGCCTTGACCTGCTTGCATGTTATACCTGAGAAATGTAGAAATGTATGGACTTTGAATAGTAGTTTATTGGTTTGTAATCACTTTTCTCTCTAGCCTAAGTATGGTCTAACCTCTCATTGGTGCCTATTTATGCATGCGAGTGCGTATTCATGATTCAAACATATTAAACCTCGATACGTGGTTTTAAGCACAACAATCAACATGATATATGAACACCAAGTATGTCTACGATTGACCTATAGCTATACGATAACCCTATCTAAGTAGACGTAGACCAGGACCAATTTTTTAAAACTGACAAACTCAATGCTACCTCGACTGTGAGCTACTCGTAAAATAGTGAAAAAAATAACAGATCTAATAATCTAATACTTCCTATAGACTCCTATGTGCTCATAATTATTTTTCCATCCTCGTCTCGTGGGGAGCTAGCTGGCAACAAAAAAAATTCGACGTACGCGTCTTAAGGCGCATATAGACAGACTGGTCAATTCTTTGACCTTATTTTGCTTCTATCCTACCCTGGCTGCGTTCTTTCAATAATGAATTTTCACAGTTACCACATGGTAAGGTTTTCGAATCGTACTATGGTTTAATCATTACATTATAATGTATTAGCTGATGCATGAGTATGAATTAAACAAAAAAAAAAACATATTAGCTGATGCATGCGTTATTATAGAGATTGATATATGTGTAGTTGGTAATATATATAATAAACACGTTGTTTATCTCAATCATAGTATTCAATTTTCTATATATTACATGTAATTTACCCCCAGATACACATTGGCAAACAGCTAGTACTACAAAGTACATGTAGCTCCAATAAGCTTTTTACAGAAAGTAAGATACCAAAATGTAAATAACAAAACGCCCATTCTATTCGCAAAGATACAGTCCGATAATTGTTGGATTCATGCACCAAAGATGATCTTTAGTCTGACTAGTTCGTAATATTGCGATGAGCCCCGGAATAAACCAAATTGTGCCAGTTTTTCGATCTCGAAGTCCTTATTTCCTCCTAAAATAGAGGGATATAAAGCGATTTCTATAATAATATATTAGCATATATATTCAAGCTCCATACATCTATCAAAAAGCGTTAGCTTACCATCTCTTTGAGATTTTTTGTAGTTACTAAGCACAGATTGTGCTCTTTTCCTAACACCCTTTCCATAGTGACTAGCACAGCTGAATATTCCTCGATGGCCTTCTCAAAATCGTTCCGCAATGAATAGCACACAGCGGTATCAAAGCGAGTTCTGAGAACATATATATGCTCAGGCCCCACGTTCTGAGAATAAAGTATAAGCGCTTTTCTATACTCTTCTAGAGCCAGAGGATATCTCTTAGAGAGCGTGTATAAATATCCCAGCTGTTGATGGCCTTGAGCTATCGAAAGATGGTCCGCTACTAGACACTGTTGCCTATATGCTAGGTTCAAAATTTGATTCTCCATCGCCTTCTCAATTTCGCCCTGGTAGATCCAGCCAGTAATCAGTGTATCCATCACTTCGAGTTTTTCGAAATGAAACCAGTTTCTGTTTTCCTCATAAAAATATGCTGCGTCTTTAACCATCTCAAAAGACAAGCGAAACTGTTCGAGGGCTGCTGGCGTGTCTATTTTTTCTGGAATACAGGCATGGGCCATTGCGAATGCACTCTCAAAAGTCTCTGGGCCCATACCATATCCTGCAATCTCGCAAGATTCTGCCATATGGTTTCTGAGGCATTCGATACGTTTTCCGAGGTTTCCACTTTTCTGATAGATCGTAGCCGTATCTCGAATAGCACGTGTAATTACAGAAGGACAGTTCCGGAAATGCTCTTTAAGACCAGCGACCACAATAGCGTTGGATTCCAGGGCCTCATCATATCTCTTTAGATTCATATATGCCAGAGCCATGTTGTTGGTCGCCATCAATGTCTCAAAGTCTTCCTTCCCTAAAGACTTTTGATAACCTTCCACCGCGCGTTTGGCATATTCAAAAGCCTTGTCGTAAAGGCCCATGTTCCGGTAAGCAACTCCAATTTGATCAGCCACTCGCAGAGAAATGACACCATCCTTTCCGCATCTCTTTTCATATTGTTCCAATGACTCTTCGTACAATATCAGGGCTTTTTTGTTCTCTCCTCTGTCGATGTAATGTTTGCCCAGATGAGTTGCAACATCCATAGCCTGTAGACACCATCTCCAATATATCTTCCCATATGCTCCAATAAGACGCAAAAAGAGATTCTCAGGATTGTAGAATTCAAACTCGCCATGAGCTGATAGAACAATACAAATCTTGCATATGGCAGCAGCTACCTCAAGCTGCATGCTATTCTCACAGTCGACGTAATAACGATTGATCAATCTGTAAACCCACAGGATTGTTGTGTAAATCTGTTTTTCGAACACCCAGTCGTGATTGGTTTTTTGGTTTTGGGGGTAATCGATAGCAGCCGCCGTGACGAGGATCGTCTCTCTGATCTTTCTTCGTTCTTCTACCGGGTCGGCACATAGAGAACAGTAAAGCCAATCAAGCATTCGTCCATTAAACCAAGCGGTGCCATCCGTGATGTTATACGTTGCCAGTGATGCGTTACGAAGAAATTTAAAGGCGAAACGTACATTTCGCTCTATGGGATCTAGTAAGTACTTTTTTGCTCATATGTCATGCTATCCAGAGAACAACGTTGGGATTTCACATACCTTCGCCTAGCCATGGCAGCTCATTCCTTCCCCTGTGGAGTAATTCTATCGAAACTCTCCCCCGAGTATTGGCTCCAATAAACCCACACAAAAACAACATCTCCTGTGAGAAACAAGGAAGTGATGTATCCTCCCATTCTTGGTCCCCATTCTCATAAATTAGCGTGACCGAAGGTCTGGTCAAATCCTGTGAAGCCGTGCTTATCCGTAAATCGGGGACAGTTCGCAAACGATCAGGCCGTAACCGAAAGGTCGGCCTTATATGAGGTCCCATTAAAGGTCCACCTACTCTATTCTCGAGTTGATTATAAACAACAGTAACTGAACTCATCATGAGTGAGTTAGAATTTTAATTGACTTAGTATATTGCTTGAGATGTTGCACCCCATATATAGATCTAGGGAAAGAAATATGATGAAAGTTCTGAGTACTTCAATTGCGAGGATAGGCGAAGAAGAAGAAGAGATTTTAACTGTGTACATAAGTTATGTACTTATATAGATTTCCGTTGTTGAGGAGGGACGAGATTAAAAATAAAATTATTATGTCATTCTGCGGTAGATTATCATGCGTCGAGTTATGATGACGCATAGCGCCATGATATCAATCCAATTGAACTCATAGCCTGACCGCATTAATAAAATAGGAGATAACCGAATAAAAAGTATGAGAGAAAATACCTAGGCCTTATGTAACTATTCACGACACTTCCTTGACGTCACGATAGTTACCTCTTCCAGAAATCTCCAACTCAGTCCCCAGCGCTAGCCTCAGCCTCAGCCACTTTCCCCAAAAGAACATTAACGTTAATCCCGGATAAGATGAATTCACCCCACACGAATGTTGCTGCCTGTAATGTTCCCCATTTATCTCCTGGTGGATGCCTACAACACCTTGTATTTGCGGAAAAAAAAAAAAAACTCAAAACACCGAGTGATACACCATGAATCAACCGATTCATGTTATGCTCATTAAAAGAGACCTTTATTACTCACAATCCAACCGCTATGTATGTATGTATGCCATAAAGTAATAACCCCACCGCGGTTAAAGAAAAAGCTCATTAAAAAAAACTCCATCGAAACACATCAACACCCTCGCATCACCATGAGCGAGCCCTAGGAGGTATTTACATCTGAAGGGAAGTAAAGTGGAAGGAAAAGTAAGAATCAACAGCCGTAGTTTATAACTGGATATGAAGCAAAGTCAGTAGAGAAGGGGGACAATACAAATATAGCCCCATATCAGTCATCTTCAAACAGACCCTCGATGGCCTTATAGTTGATTTTCTTTGAGTAGCTCCTGCGCTGCAACATCTGCTTCGCACTCTCTGCGGGCGTCGCCGCAAGGTCCTCGCTAGTGCTATCTCTTGGCCTCTTCTTCTGACGACGTTTTGTAGGTTTTGCGATACCATTGCGGAGGTCGGTTTCGCGCTTGAGACGTTTGACTATCCACCAACGACACCCATCAGCCACAAACCACAAACCACCATAACAATAGAGATGGAGCTTACACTCCTGCTCCCGCAGATAGTCCTTATTGAACTCAACCCAAATCCTCTCTTTAAGGTCCGCTTCATCCTTCCCCAGCAACGCGCCCATGACTTCAATGTCATCATCCACATCCCTCAGATCATCCGGATCATCGCTGACACCCGACTCACGATTCTTCGCAGCAAGCTCCTCAAGTTCCTTCCGATGTGCCTCTTTCAGCTCCTCGACAGCCTTCGTGGAGTCAGGTGTATCGATCAGCGCCATCATCTCGCTTTCGATACACGCCTCGGCAATCGCATCATTATGATCTGCATCGCCCGACAAGCCGCTCTGATTCAGATCTGGCTCCGCATCACCTGATGGCGGTGGTGTAGGGTTCGCCCCAGCCTGAAGCAGCGCAGGATCAATCGGCACCTCGGGGACAACAAAGCCATCTTTATCCCTCCTTGGCTCCACCGGGACCGCTGGAGCCTCCGTCCTCTGCCTTTTTTGCGCTGGCTGCTCCGTATCAGTCTCTTTATCGCCTATAACCTCACCATCATCGTTGACCTCCCTAACCCTTCTTTTCCTTGAAGGCTTTGGGCCAAAGCTAGGAGGATCATGACCCTGCTCCAGCCAGATATTCCGGAACTCCTCAACAGTGAGATCACCACTCTTCGTGGCCCTGAATTCATCTAGACGCTTCTGGATAGTGAGGTCCGCAACCTTGACAATGTATACAACTTCTCTGACTGAGCGGCGGTAGTTGTTCATTCGTGCAGCGAGGAGAAGGGCTGCTCCACAGATGCCGGATGGCCTTCGACCTTGAACCATCCAATCACGGTTCATACGCTGGATGAGACGCAGGGCATCGTTGGCAACGGTGACAGAGTCGTCGCCAAATTCGAGGTGCTTGGCGAAACGGTGGACGTAAACAGTGGGGTCGATGTGGGGGAGGCGGACTTCTAGTGTTTGAACAAGCTTAAGGTATGTTTGCCCGAGAGTAAATACGTTGATCTATCATAGAAGCTAGTTATTAATATTTGCTTGTAGTATGTGGGGAAGGAGACTTACCCCAAGCATATCAGAGAAGTCAATCAGCATATGAGAACTCTTTTCGTTGCGACAGGAGATATACAAGCAGGAGGCGATAACATATTGGGTTTTACGACCTTTGGTGAAGTTGTTTGTTACAGCGAGCGTGAACCATCGCTGAGCAGTGTCGACGTAGTGTGAAGGACATTTGAGTGCTTCAGCAAGCTGTACGATCTTTCGCCTGCCTATAATTCGGAAGAGGCATATTAGCTACAGAACTAACATCTTTATGATTGACCACAACTCCGGAAAATAATTATTCCGATGTAGATTAAGAAGGAGGCGCTAGATCGTGAACAACGCTAATCGCCGCAACAATAGAAAGCCCTCCTCCAAACAGAACAAAAGGAAGAAACTCGAAAAAAAAGGCCATGGTCACTCTTACCATGCATAATGGCAGCATCACGACTCTCCAGACTGGTCCCACTCCTAAACTTGCCTCCACCACCAACATGCGTCTGTCCCTCAGCGACATAGCTCCCCTGCACCATCGCCGCCCCACTGCTCGTCTCGCCAAAGGTGATCTCCGAGACAATTTGACTGTCCTGCAGGACTGTCCCGCAGTTCGTGCACACGAGTGTGCCATTGCTGTCGTCGAAGTCGGCGGGGTTCGAACTCGCACAGCCCGGGCACGTGTTTTTCGCCATTCGAGTAGGCTAACCGCTCGACAACAACAAAAGATTGCTGCGAAGGGTACAAATAAAGGTTGTACTTATAGTAATGAGTCACACGGTGACAAGTTGCATGAATTGCAAACAGGTGGGAATTTGGACTTGATGGATGTCTGATGAGAATGGAGAATCAGTACTCTTTTTTTCTTTGGTGGAATAGAAAAAAAAGTTTGAGGTCATGCAGGCAAGGGTGGATGTTGTTGAAAAAGTCAAGAGATGCCCCGCGGTAGGGAAGTATTTGGGTTAGTGGTCGGCGGGAAGACTTGGCGATGAGGCTCACCTAACCCTGCTACTGCATCTGCTAGAGATCTCGCTAAGTCCCGAAGCAAGCAAAACTACAGTAGAGTAGAGTGGAGGGAGAGGAGATGAGAAGAAGAATAAGAAGAAGGACCGGTACATCATGTACCTTTTTTGCTCCTCCAGAAGATACATGATTTTTCTCCAGATTGAAGGCCACATCCGCCCGCACACGCGAGCTTAACGTCCACCGTTTGCTGACATAATATGCTACGGACGGCAAGGAGTACGCGAATTCTTCAAATAAGCTCTATGTACACGAATTTCTAGAATCAGCGAGATAAAATATAAGCTTTGCCTTCTCTCCCATGCCTTCATGATATCATACATCTTGAGGCACTCTCTCTATCAACTAACCCCCACCCTCACCCACACTGAGGACTCGCAAACTCAGCTGAAATTCAAGAAACAGACTGCACTTGCACCTTCACTTGCACTTCACTTGCATAATAAAAATCAAAGGCTAGACTAAAAACTACAACCAACGCTTTCACCTCTGCAAATCACATCCCTCCCAGGACCCGAACTCCCGGGCCGTCCTACTAGTTCCTCCAGAGTAGGTAAAGAAGCCTTATTTAACCGGCACCCAAAATCACCATCAATCACTCGCCAGCAAATGACAACCCATCCCATGCCATGCAACCCCTCAGATGTAACGTCTCTCCTTCCTCGGAGTGCCCCCAGACGTGTTTACAATCGAGGAATCCGTGAATTGCTGTTGTGTTCCCATAGAATCTAGTACGAGTACCAGATGAATTACTCTACTCTACTCTACTCGAGTCTAGAGCACATACCTACATGCTCTAGAGTAGCTAGTGCATGTAGTTTGGTAGGCCGTGTATCCCGGTCTGCAAGCCAGCAATCTGAACCAATGTCTCACACGGGAGAGAGTAACCGCCTCCGATAACCCAAATGCAGTACAAAACCCTGATTCCCACTGTTCAACCTTTGATAATCCTCCGATATGATGCGGAGGATCAACCACGATTTGTACATGTATGTTGCTCTAAGGGGAAAGAGAGAGGAGGGGTATGTGTTGCCCGTGCTCTCGATTGGCTTTGACTGACGCGTGGAGAAATTCTATATGTATCCAAGGAAGGGCGCTCTTAAGCTTTTTTCCCTTCTCATTTTCGGTCGCCCTCCCCATTGAATTTCTCCCGACGGTTGCAATCAGCTGTGCTTGAGTGTCCGCGTCATCATCTAATTTCCGATCTGATCTTCAATCTTCCCTTTTTATAATCATCATCACCCTCGACACCCCCCACTCCAACCAACACACTCCCCGTTCGGGCGAGCGAGTGAGTGTAGCCTCACCCTCTCTACTGAGCTCCGCCATTATGTCTTTTATAGGCCGCCTATGTTCGGGCTTCGGGCTCTTTTCAGCAATCCGGCCCCGCCGCAAAACCTCTCAAGGAAAGACGGCCCATAGCGTTGCCGGTGCTGATACTGGTATATGTAGTACCTGTATCTCCTCTTCCGACAATTGCAATTGTCTCCATACACGCGGAACCATGGTTTCTACTTCCTCCTCTTCCACCGCTAGCGATGACGTTACACCACCCCAAAGATGTTTGCTTCTAGGACTCGAGGGAAGTGGGAAAACGACTTTCGTGACCAGGATAAAAACTGGGGAATACATAGATGTGGAGCCCACGAGCGATTTTCTCGGTATTACTTCCAGTTGCAAAAAAAAAAAAAAATGCAAATCCATTGAGACGTTTCTGACAATTATATAGTGGAAGAGGTTGTGGTCAATAAAAAAGGCGAGACGATAACCTTCATCGAGGTTGGCGGCACAAACCGTCGAGGGATTCGGCTTCAATTTCTTAAGGCCATGCCAGGCCAGGCAATCTCAATTCTCTTCTTCATAGACGTTACTTCAAGCCCCGAGGCTCTTCAGAAGGCATTCGAAGAGCTTGTGTATGTCATAACGTATACGCAGGAGCGTGCGTGCTCGATCCACTATCTCGGCGTTGTTCTCAACAAGCAGGATCTTCTCAATTCGCCCCCACCTAGTCTGACGGGAAGGACGAGAAAGAAGAGCTTGAGCTGGGGCTCGAAGAAACCAGTACAGCAAAAACAGCCGCGGGTTGATTTGGATCTAGAGAGATATGTGGCGGTGGAGGTTATAGAAGGGGGAGAGAATGAGCGTATGGATGGCCAAAGCGAGATTGTGAAATGGATTCAGAAGGAGACCCGAGACGCAATCGAGAAACACAAACTCGCCCAGCCGGAGGAACTCGACTTCTACTCCGAACTACTCTATACCAGCCCAGATGGGAAAGGAATTAGTATGAAAACAGGAGATGGAGTGCAGGAAGTCTATCATAGGCTGGTGCAGGGAATGAAGGCTGGGAAGGAAAGGCCAAGCTTTTCAGTACTGGAAAAAATGGCAGAAGAGAGGTTATAGTGTAAGAGTTTTTTATGATGCTAACGAGCTGAAAATTGGTTTATTGGGAGTAATGGGTTTTTCTTAGACTGAAAATGGGTTCCTGCCATATTTGCTCTATCGGAGGGTAGCTGAGCGCCTTTGCACAAAACACTTTTATTTGTATTCTATGATTGATGGTTTTTCCAAAATCGACAAGATCGATTATCTTTGTCAAAATAAAATTGCATAACCTAATTTTTCGAACAAATACATGTATCTTACCATTGTGTAAATTTCTGTATAAAACCTCGCTTTGATGCTCGTCCCATCGTTATCCTGGCACGCTTAATTCGGCTATCGGATTATCAACCTGCTACCCAAGAGATCGATGAAATGCGTTCCGGCAGAACTACACATGACTACATGTAGCTTGCCTACTACATGTAGCTTTCCGAGTTATCCGGCAGCATTGCCAGACCTTTACTTATCGTTGTAGGAACATTTACCTTGCTATTGTAGTTTTGTGTTTATTCGTACTACATTGCAGCTTTAACACTCAGCTCAAGATGAAGTAAATGTAGTGTAGACATGCGTATACATAAAGGTTTAACCCTTGTATTTTCTAGAGCCTTTCAATGCCTAAGATCGAGATTCTCGCCGGACTTCTTAAACACCCTAAGAAAAACGACTCGTTTCAATTATGATAGCTCTGCGTTGGCGTGACGTGAAAACGCCCAAGTTCTTACTGGAGAAAAAAACGAGGCAAATAGGATTGGTAGACTCCTAACGCCCCATAAGACGGACATACATATACATACATACGTAGCGCATGCCGGTAAGAAAAACCTGATGATGTGGAGAGATGAGATGATGACAGGGAACTGTCGATAGAGTTGTTTCAAATGCCTGTTTCAGAACTAACGTAGGAGGATTGATTGGGAGGTTGGGGGAATGCAGGTTTTCATAGCTGGAAGCTTATCCTGAAAACACGTTTCTGGATCCGATTGCACTAACGCCAACGGGAGATAAATGGCTTGGACTCTGTAGAACTGGTGATATTGACATCTCGACGGGGCCTTGTTATTCCGACCTTTATGTCTCGCAATCAATGGCTACAATTACTGTAATGTTAAATAACGCAGCGCCAGGAATCTGAGACATCCTGATTTTACTATATTTTCTTAGTCATGATCACCTATCGCCAGTCATGAAATATCACGCGGATTGATAACAAAACCGAGCCATCCTAATGACTCCATTCTTCAAAGCCGTCCTACGGTGTCGTGGTCCAGTACCTACATTATACGCCAGGTATTGGCAAACGGGGGGGGGGGGGGGGGACTTGATTAAATAAGACACTCAGTGAAAAGGATTTGGATGATGTCTTGCAATTGTTTGTTTTTCACTCTACCACGCCGGAAATCCTGTCAGTGTCAACGGTTCTACTCACTTATCCTTGGTACGTAGTACTCATCAAGGCCCCCCCCTCCCACTGCAGGACGATACCCGTAAATACATATATATGAGAGTGCTGGCCATGGTTGGTGGGAGGTGAGGGTGGGGGTGACCATGAGGGTTCCGATCATGTATACACGTGCACCCATGACTGTACTATCCTATCAAAAAGGGAATTGTTGGTCGGTACTATAATATACTAGTACGATGTTAGGTCCCCCTACTAAAGCAAACGCGCAAATGCCTTCTATATTTATAGAAGACAATGAAATGAACAACAAAAGTGTAAAATCACAATTAATGGTAACTATAGTCCATAGCCCTAGTGATACCCGTCGCTCTCATAGAGAAGTTGACATCAATATGAGCTGGTCTTGATCCGCATTCCAACCAACGGTAAATTGTGCCTTGATAAATCTCATCGGAATACCTCAAGAGAAAGACCAAAGTTTAGTTTCAAATCAGACCCATACACATCTCATCTTTATAATAAGCAGTAGGTTGCGCAACCGCACGTGATTTCCTTCATAGTTTATCACTCGATATCTCCTACGATTCTTATGCTGCCGTTTTTGATTGGTTAATTCATTAGTGACCCTTGTTAGTATTTTATGGGCGTAAATAACTTTAAATCTTTGTAGGTTCAATTCTATTAAAATGCAGTTAGAGTCGATTACGCGCGGTCTGTGAGCCTTGCTGGCCGGGTATATATAGGAGCTGTGGTGTAGATCAGGTTTATTCCAGTGTATAGTATATTGAAACCAAGAAAACTCGCTAGGATACGGATATGATATTATTAGTTTTTATTTAATACAAGCTCAAGTTGAATATACACATCGTTCCTTGCAGATAAGAGCACCGTGCCTCTGCGTTTTAGGATGTATTTATAGCTTTGGCAATGTCCCCATAGTATACTATGCATATGTAGGTTTAATTTTGGATGCTAGATATAGGTCCAGAAGCTACGATGTTACCTCATGACCTATTGAATGACCTGCTGGAGTCAGGCTGTAGTTATATCAAGTATCCATTCACTACGGTTGGCTTTTCAGGGCGACCTTCGTATATAATTTCGATGATGGTATACTAGCTCCCAGGTTGTACATATGTCATGAGGACAGCTTTACAACGTGCACGCGGACATTCAAAGAACTAGACCACCTAATAAGGGAAGTTAAGCGTAAGCGCTGACATTTTGTACTGCGACTAAAATCCGCGGAACCGGACTCGCGGCTTTGATAGGTAGGTTTTCCGCTGGGTGCACTTTGTCGGCTGTGAGTTACTAGGGTCCGTGAGTCATAAATAGCAGCTGAAGGGGACGTAGATAGCCAAAAAGCCTATATATAGTCTCGTGACTACATGCACATCTGCAGAAGCTACCACCAAAGTCCAGGAATTCGAACGTGACCAGTTAGCTTTCCTGATCCTCTATATAGATTTATCAATCAAGATAATTATTTATCGCTATTACGATCAGCTCATGGTTTAACTTTTGCAGTGTTAAGCCCCAGCCGAAATTGCTGATACAGCTAAAAGTTAAGATCTTCTAGAATGCATTAAAGGATTTTGCCCACCCCACAAATTTTCTAATCAACGCCTATGTAAAAATATAAAAACGATCGTCGTAGAATTTTAACCACGATGTAGCCCTTCGACCAGATAAATGATGGAATATAAGCCAGTGATTGAATCTACAAAAACAGAACAAAGAGTCACAAGCCAATCACGTGATGCGTTTCGGAGTGAGACATTTCGAGAAGCTGAGTTCGAGCGTTGAGGAGCGATGTAGTAAGAGCTGTAGAGGTTAGAGGTACGAGTTTGTAGGAGATATAAAGGCGATATGAGAATGAGAACAAGTAGAAATAGAATATGGAATCATAGAGTATCACTCGTGCTGCTGCTATGATGTTTTCGCATAAAGTATAGGGCCCTGTAAACGTTAGCTTTTTCTGTACCATCATCCATCCACCCCCCGCCAAATTCTATCATACTTCCCACAACACCTCCAATCACACCTCCCACTACACCTCCCACCATACTCACAAACTTCATCTGCAGAGACCAGCATAATCACCACAACCACCACAACCACCACAGCCATAACCATAAGCAAACCTCTCTTTCAGTTCAACATGTTTTCCGAAACCATCAAACCACCGCAAACAATACTCACTTTCGGTCTCACTCTTGAGCTCATAACTCATCTCCCCATCTCCCAAGATTCTACTACCACTATCGCCTCCCATCTCCGCACTCATCTCTCAGTCCCCTTCTTCTCCCCAGCCTCGGGTCCCTACACCGCCCCAACGACCCTCGTCACCGCTGCAGGCCCACAACTTATCCCCAGCTCCCCCACGCTCCCCCATCCCGTCGTCGACTGGATCGGGGACCACCCATCTCCACGCCACTACCTTGTAACCACCCGTCACAGCCTCCATCGTGGTATCACAGACGCCATGGCTCATCACTCGTGTGGTATCGTCGTCGAAACGCCCATCTTACGCGCCTTCAACGCCATCGATTTTGCCGTCACTGGCATTTCCGCTGCTCTTGGGGCTCTTGGGAAGGACATGGTTGAGTTTACGCCTTATTGCGGACTCTGTGTCCACATGGGTCGCCGCGGGGGGTTTAGTCTCGATAACATAAAGGGACTGGCAAAGGCAGTCGTGGTGTTTGAACGTGACATTGAGATGTACTGGCACCCAAAGCATAGATATATCTATGGGGAAGGTGGCGGCTGGTCTAATCGTGGGAATCGTAGTGCAGTGAAGTTGGTCGGGTTGATCGAAGAACTGAAGAGCGTTGGGGGCATCAGCAAGTTGCTTTGTGAGCAAGGTGTGGGGGAGGATTACAAGTATAACTTCCAAAGCCTAGTAGCGGTGGGGTGTATTGAGTTCCGCCAGGCGCAGGGGACATTGGATGTCGAGTGGATACAGTCGTGGGTGAGGTTTTTGGCGCTGTTTGTGAAGTCAGCAGAGAAGGCGCCAAAGGATAGCTGGGAAGAGTGGGCTAGGGGCGAGGGAGGTGGACTGGCAGAGTTCTTGAAGTTTGGGACTGACGATACCAGTGACGATGACGACGAGTAAAGGATGGAGTATTATCAGTAGCAACTTGGTATAGGCGTCATGGGTTTCCTATCCGATATTTTCCCCCTTTTTTGCTGTAATTTCGAATCGGTATTTCTTACGGCAATAACTTTAGATTCTCTACTCTATAACCTTCATATTACTTTGATGATTTCTCTTTAGCCATCTTGTCCTGTCATCGCTCCTCGTCTTTGTTATGATTAGTTTCGCAGCCCCCTTTGTTTTTGCTTCCACTTAGAGCTTAGACAGAATCTAAATAATACAACGGTTGCGTTCACAAATTTAAATTACGTATCAAGAATTCTAACTACATGGTTTATTGTAGTGCAAGAACTAGCATCACAATCACAGCATCCTATAGTAACACCTAGACATTATGCTACGTAGTGGAATACTCCAGAACCCGGCGCGGTCCAGCAGCCCCCCCTCTCTTTGGACTCCAATTTAGGGTATACTAGCACGGTATATTACTGTGATAGTTATGCGCACGCTCACAACACACTGCCGTAGGAGAGACATTAAATAGTACTGATCGAGTGATGGTCCATGATCTAAATTAGTGCAAGGTTCAATGGATTTTGTATTTGACTATAGATATAAGATCATATATTTACTCGTACCAAAGCTTTAGAGCGATCTATTATACATAAATTCATTTTATTAAACATCTCGTATCATTTTTGGTTGTCTTGATACTGTGCTTGTAGTTGCCTCTCCTCACTCAACTGTGGTTTGATATCCGAATCATGATCTCTATTAAATACTCCAAGATTCCAAATACCACCAATGACTAGAATATTTTAGAGAATAGGAGGTTAGGAAAGAGCCCGGGAATAAAATCCCTGGGTTAGTTGGGATCATGTGTCTTCTATGTGATTGTGGGGGTAGGGACATTTGGTTGACTATAGAAGGATAGGTTCCGCCCGGAGTTTCCCTATTTGGAATTCGCCGATAAATTTATTTAATGAACCCTTCTTTACGCGCCGTGGGACCCATAGGCAATTAAGGATTACATTGTATGGTTTGATATCTTCGAGTGATTTCTTATGATGCTGCAACGGCCCATATCACGTAAATCTATCGTTTACTTGTAAAGAAGGGTGTAGTAATAACGAAAATAAATAGCTATCTTTTTCTGGATGCACATATGGCTTTTCAAATAGCATGTCGACAGCGAGACCGGACACGTCATGTTGACTTTATCTGTGTGCTAAGTGCATGTAGTTACAAGTAGTCCCGCCAACGCCCCATGCACGCGCTCCAGTCTAACAACCAATCCTCACTCTCGCCCCTCCGAAATGTAATCAATCTTGTTTACAACAGAGCCATTTTAAAGATCGAGTGATACAGCATGATTAAATGACGCCAAATAGGGGACAGGAACTACAGATCCAAACTGTTCTAGGTATTGATATACGGGTCGTGCAATTAGCCCACTTACTTCGCATTGTGTCATTGTCTACCCCGATATGACTGGTGGGTTGATTGGGTATCCGTCCTCGCCCTTTCATTAGTACAGACAACCTCGCTGACACTCATGTATCCAGTCCTTCTCTATCCAGAACGCCCCAGTAAACTTTCACAGCTCCCCCTACATGTAAGGAAAGAATCATTACCCACCATCTTGCAAGCAGATACTTCACAAGTCACAGAAAAGCCCAGCCTTGTAATTGTAACACGCCGACTCACCTCGCCTTCGTCACACTTCATGTGACTTCCCACCCTCTGCAGATCACTCCGTGACAAAGGATCAACTTTACCTACTGACCCCTGACGTGACAACTCATCACAATAAACAAGTCCCATGCCTTTCCCATCACAAAATGCCATAGCACAAAAACATCCACGGATGCCTCTCAGCTCGCCGGTGGCAAAACGGGCTATCAAAAAAGCCCGTGCGCATTGACGATCCCCCCACATACCCGTCCAGCCGCCCCCAACCCATGATCCAGAGTAAGAAGGTGGGCGAGTTTGTGGGGCCGATATCGATTCGCGTATGTATGTACGGCGATATATGAGGATGTTGATCAACGTCTTGGGATGTTTCGAATATAGGAGACGAGCGAATAAGAACTGCGCACAAACACAGAGGTTGGTGATAGAGGCACCCAGCCTTGTCCCTCATCATGATGATGAGCGAAAACTACTAAATAAGTCACATCACGGGTCACTATATATATACGGAACCACACCCACCATATCGTCCGCTTATCTTCCAGAGAGGTATCCAGAACTTGGTTTTGTTTCTAGTCATGTAGATCAACCGTCATATCTGACGTCCCAATCTATAAGAAACCGGGAGAGAGTCACATATCGGCCATGGAATATTCTATCGAAGGAAGATGGGATTTGGTACGCGGGGTAATGATCATCGGGACTCTTTACCGAATCATGCGCATTCTGATATTAGGACTCATCTATTTTTTCTTGGTTTAGGCATGGCTGCCTAGAGCCATTAGTCGGTAGAGTATAGCATGAATTTCCCCTCTCTGTCCCAGAGTAATTTATTCCAGCTTTAGAGTAGAGGTACGTAGAGAAGGTTTCGGACAAGAAGATCGTTGTTATCATCATACTAATAAAAAGCACTTAAGCTTTCAATGTCTTGGCTCGCTCATCCATGAAATCACTGCCAAGCATCACGAATTCCCTCTGATATCCCTGCCAGAGCAAGCACAGTATCGAACCTTAGACATATCTACCAATCAAAACATGTCCGCCCTCCGCCGCCTCCCCTGCCTACAGCGTCCTTACTCTACCCGCACTATCCTCCCCCACCCCAGCTGGTCGGTGCGTACGCTCCTACCTAGCTCCGACCCCTCCTCCACCAAGAGTACGCCCACAATCTCACCGTCGACACTCGCGCACCTCCTGCGCCTATCCGCGCTCTCACCACCTGCCGACCCGGCTTCACTTCACGACCACCTACACTTTGTACGCTACCTGACCAAAGTTAAGACCTTTGGCGTAGTGCCGGTTGCGGCAATCCGAGACGAGGTCCACCTGGCGAGCGAGTACAGTTACGAAGATGTTATGGGCACGGAGGAGCAGCTGGACGATGTGGGTGTGAGCGATGGTGGGGATTTGTCATGGAACGCCGTGGACAGGGCCAAGAGGAAGGTCGGTAGCTTTTTCGTCGTTGACGAGGCGGTCGAGGATGAGTTGGTGAGGCTTGAGGTTAAGAAATGATCAGGTTGCTGGATTTGGCGTTTTAGTTTTTTTCTTTTGTAAATTTAAATCTCTTTTTTTCACATATGGATACCGAGGATCATCTATTTCGCTCGGATCTATTTGCATTAAGGATCACTCAGCGGTGGTTCAGGACAGCTCACAATAAGGTGTAGTACACTGCATACTCCAATACATACTCCTCGTAATTATTTCTTTGGCAACTTCCCCCCGCCTTTCGAACAATGCAGATTGCTTTTTAATTTTAACATGGCGGCTATAAACTTTTGTTATGACCTTATAGAAATGACTTTCGCACATATATCAAGTCCGAGGCCGCCGGAGATATCAATGATTAAAGACTATTTTGATCCCCTCTTCTAATCCTCTTCGATCCTCGCTCTTCCCCTTTTACTTTTGCTAATTCTGACCACATGATAACGCCAATTGTAAATGAAGGACACAATATGCAGGAACTGCAGCAAGAATGAATGTCCACCCGTACTTAAGTAACCCGCCTACTCTTAAAACGCGCTGGTAGGACCTCCAAACGAAAAATTGCTTATTTTGCCCCCGCAGCTGGCTGCAACGTCGGGACCCCGCCAAAATAAAATAACAAAAAGGAAGCAAAGACCAACGTTAATTAGTCAACTTTCTTGCCGTGCTCATCGAGTCCTGTAAAGCACCACCGGGATCCCAATTAGATTAATTGTGCATATTAGAACGATAACAGAGGGTAGATTGACGTATAAAATGACACTTCATGACTTACCATGTAGCTTCCACCATCTTTTCAGGCAACTCCACTGGTGGAGATCGAAACTTTCTTCGCGTTCGAACGGACACATGCACCTTGCGTAGTCATGACTCTCGTCATCCGCTGGACAGCGTCCCCTGCGCATCGTAGTTGGTGAGCCTTTTTTTTTTTTCTTTCTCATCGGATTGCTGGTGACACCATGTGCATGTGCGCATAAAACATGAGATGGTTAGGCAAAGGGGCAGTGGGGGTTGAACTTACCATGGCACGTGATTGTAACCAACGTCACTAAAAAAGTGTATTTGATCCTTAGGGAGGAATAGAGCGGCTGCGACTGAATGAACCGGAGCGTCTCCCCATCGTTCGTAATAGAAACCGCCTTTTTTGTCGAGATAATTAAAGTATTTGGTGTATGCTTCCCCACGCCAAAAGTTTAGATCGGCAATTTCAAAGTTGGACCAAAAGTGGCAGTTATTGTAATCGGTGCCCTCGATTCTGTAAATTATAACTATTAGCAAAATTGTGGGGGCAAAATGGGCAGGTCTGACAATTTAACTCACCCTTTGCTAGCTTCATCGTCGGTAATAAATCCCAGCGAATTATCCTTTGCAATGTACTGTGGATGCAGCTTCGCGAACTCCTGTGTGGTTGACCAAAGTGTTTCGATGGTCTCACGATATTCTGGAAGTGATATGACGAATGAGTACTTCTTGTTATTCTCGCGCATGAACGTGAACGGATCATAATTCATGTCGCAGTAGAAGCTTGTGCTCGGTTCCACCCGCCAGTACCTGCAGTTGCCCATTACATTAGCATCCCAGATCCCGACAACAGCATGTAACACCACTTTCTCCGCCTTCTTGTTCCCGTCCGGGATTGATTAGGCCTATGGGATGGTTCTCACCAGTCATATTTTTTCAATGCCTCGTGCCTCCAGAAAAAACCCGAGTTATAACGACACATATGGCGATAAGTCCGTGAATCACCGTAAATGACATTCTTCTCGGACATCCACTTGATTGTCTCCTGGAACTTATCCTCCGATATCCATTCGGGCATACTCCATTCTTCCTCCGGGATCAATCCATACTCGGTGGCGCCCGATGCCATGCGAGTGGTGTGATTTCGAAACTCCTCTGTGAATGGCTCGTCATTGAGGAAGGTCCATGGATAGTGGTAATTGCGGTTAAAGCGATCCTCTATCTGCTTCATCGCTGTGAGTGCATCTTTGAGCTCACGGTTCCTGGCGAGTTAAAACACGCAGAATGCACTGATCAGCTGATGTCCTGATAAAAATGGTATGATAACAGTTTTATGTGGGGGAATGTCGAACAAGATAGAATCCGAAGGAGATCGTACCGAACAAGCATCACCAATGAAGCCTTTTCCTTCCCTATCTGCACATTCCCTTTACTTGCGAGTAACCGCTCTCTTGCCGCTGCCTTCTCAGCGAGAAGGTCCGTTATCGATCCTGCATTTTTGATTGCTGTATGCTCCCCACTGGCATCGAGTGAGCCTAGACCATAGCCGTAGAGGTTCCCTGTGTACCCTTTCCACGCAACCACGAGGACTCCAAACACAAACAACAAACCCAAGACCTTTAGGGCCTTATTAATCCCATATCCCCTTTTCCGGGCTCTGAACCCCAGGTTTGAGCTACCTGAATTCCTCTGAGCCTTATATTTCTCGAATGGATTGTCGCTGTCAGGACGGCTCGGGGAAGAACTCCAATAGTTTGTGGAGTTATAGGACATGCCTCCTCCTCCTCTGCTGATCCTTCTATTGTTGGTCCAGTACTGTATTTGCGGTGGGAGGCGTTATATGTTATTAGTCCTCCGTTTGAAGCTTATGTACGGTGGAAGCTGAAGCTATGTTCGGGGTATCAATAAGTCTCGTGCTGTTATGTTGGAAGCTGAGCAGTCAGGCAATTAAGCGGCCGGATCGACACCCAGGAATCGCCAATGTCAGAGCTGCCCAAGCTATCCTGCATCTGTCCTTAGAGATGACACATTTCATATTCCCTGCCGTCAAGACAAACGGGTATAAACAAACACGGGTGTAAATTACAGTGGAGCTTCTCAAAGCCAGAGCATTTATTAATTACGATCGAGGGGCCGCCCCGGTGCTACTACCCGGACGTACGTACTTGTAGGTACTCTTTAAGCTGCTGCCAGCATGAGACAAGGTAGCACCAGGCAATTCTAGCACAAGACTTGGCAAAGTTAACAATTTTAATAGCGTAAGGGATATCGCAACTTCTCCTGCTAGTGATATATCGGTATAATATCTTGAGGCACTAGATCAAAGTTCACATCAGTAATTTATTCCTTCAGATTCTTTTCCTCCTCATAACTATCTTTTTGTAGCTGTTGGCATGTCCCCGCTGAACAGAGCCACGGCCACCACTTCCCGTTAGAAGTTCGTTTGTTGAAAGCTCTTCAGAGATTTCTTTATCCCATGCCAGTGTCTATAGCATGGTGCATTCTGGAATCTATATCCTACTACATGTAGGCATGGGGGGTTGATTAGGGTTACTTTTGTCGCTGACCCGCTGGCTTGCTAGCAAACCAACGGAACAGAACCCAAACCCTGGTTTCCGACCCCAACACAAACAACCCTAACCCACCATCCTATACCTGATGGTGGGGATTCAGGAGCCATACTGGGACACCAAAGCAATGTGTGAGCCCAGTTCCAATTAACCTTTCGTTTGGCCGCCGTCTTTTCTGTTCCAAGGAATTAAGGACGTGGCGGTGTTCACTCGTCATGTCAGGTCAGGGTTTAGGGTTCGCACTGCGGCCACCTTCCTCGCAGAGTTTCGCCAAGTCATCTCTCCGCGGCGCAGGGAAGGTGCCCGGCCGGTGGAGCCTGCAGAGAGAAGAAAAAAACTCTTAACACTCGTTCATCTCTTCTTCCTTGCGAGCGACATGCATAACTTAGGCAGATTGTGAGATACAGACAAGATTACCTACTTACATCCAATCCACCTACCTAGGTTCTACTCTAGAGTACCTACATGTTTAGACGTTTTATTTATCGTTTCCCCCCACCCATGCAAAGGACGGCGGTACTACCAGCATGAGGAAACATCTCCATGTGGTGGTGGTTACCTCAGTGGGTAGGGCTTTCCTGGCCTTGGAATTACTTTAACGCTTTTAATTGCCGGTTGACTGAGGGAAAATCACCATATCTGTACCTACGCGACGACCGTTTACTCTTTCGACAATTCTCGACGTAAGCTTAAGCCCAGTTAACATTTTAATACGAGCCAGGAGGCGCTCTCATGCACTGTATTCACTTACAACTGGTCCAATGATTGGTCTCCAGCGTGTGGGTATGTAACGTTCAGGATAAAGCTGCATATGAGGATAAGGACACCCAGACCATGCCAGATACCACAAGATTCTGCTAATGGTGTTGCTATTTTACTCCGTGCGGATACAACGGCAGCGAGTGATACGCCATGATACGGCGCACCACTTTCGGAAGGCACCCATGAACACAAAAGATCTTTCAGCCTTCCTCTGTGTGCGGAGATAGTTTTTTTGACACTATCTTCCGAGATGCCCGAGAAAGCAAGAAAAATAAAATATTTCCCTGGCCAGCCTTTCGTGAGATGTGGCCCGAAGTGATGAGGAATCCACTCTGTGTTCCAATCGCCCGGCGTAATCCGCGCTGCACCTGTGTCCCAAGATGGTTAGGCCCAGCACAATAACCACCGTTTTATGAGAACTGAAGAGGAAGAAGAAACCACATTCAAACAGGGAAGCGCACGGGTAGGCGCTTTGTTTTTGTCGTTTAATTTACCAAGGACCCAGTCGGGTATTTTTCGACGTGTGCAGATATCCGAGCATTGGAAATCACGGTGCACTGTGCGGTGCGGCAGAGCACTATATCGTGCTTGTATGTACATTGATACCGAACATCTCATATCCTCCCGCGGGCAGAAAAAAGACAGGGTGGGTTGATAAGAAGGATGAGCTGCAGGCCTGGTTGACAGTCGTTCGCGCTGCTTGTGCTCCGGGAGGTTGGCTTTGCCTACATAGTATCGGTATGCAGTTAAGCTGCATTGAGATATCTACACTAATCAATTAAACTTGGCTACAGGTCTACAATTGTAGATTTGGCTACATAAAGGTGCTGCAAATATCGAAAGAGACATAGAAATAAAACGGTCGGGATTACTATCAACGGATATTAGGGCTCAGGTTTTAAATTATGCCATTTGTTCTGCGGCGTTTCTAGAAGAAACAAAAATACCCAAGCTCAAGGCTGTTAATACCGCCGCTGGTTAACGTCAGCCTTCAGAAGTAGCAATGGCTGTGAATAGTTCGTCCGGCTTGAGCCATATTCTCAATGATCAACATGCGTTTCGCCGCAATTGAAGCCCAATCAATATCAACGGCCAGCGCCATATTTACAGTCAGTTTCATGCAGTTTTTTATCGTGAGATCTTCAAGGTGTTCTAAAATATAACTACACGTCGTCTAAACATTCCTTCTTCTTCTGCAATAGGTATTGATCGATGATTACTAAATAGAGTCTCTCTCTGAAGAGAGTAGGCTTTCGGGGTCACATTTGTGTCTTGAATCTCAAAATTCAAACTCTCATCTAGAGGCAACTCGCTCGAGTAACGTTCCTCACGCATACTCCCCCAGCTGGCCAGACCACCCTACCTCACTAAAACACTATCTCATCTTGATATTTGCCACCAAGCGAAGACCCTAAACTGTCGATCTGGGGTAATGGCCGGTGGACTGTGGAAAGGTAACGCATTGCCAGGTATCTTCAGAAATCCAGGGCCATGATCGGGTGCTCAAAAAAAAGAACTTCATGGTGCGGGGACACCTCAAGCGTGTAAGGCTGCGGGCCAGATACTAGCTGATGCATCGTGAGAATTAGCTAGAGGTGTGTGTCGAACATAGGAGAACCTTGAGTTATATAAAGGCGTGCGCGAATCCAGAGGTACTCGGTAGTCGCTCGGCGCTGTAAGCCTGAAAGTTGTTAGTCTATCAACGCTTGATAAGGGCTTGCATTGCATGTTCACATGTGTGTATGTGCGTTAATGAACTTAGACAAAGAACTCAAAAGAGTGCCGAGCTCTATCTTTTTCTATTATTGGTTGCCGGGAGCATGCAAGCCGATATTGCGGGGTAATTGGAAAGCCTGGAGAGGCCTCTACATGCAGCGGACGATAGAGTATCAACTTACATGAACAAGATCTTGAGAGCTTTCACGAGGAGCCACCAGATATGGCCGGCCCTCCAAAGCCAAAGCCAAAAAAAAAGAAAAAAAGAAAACCACAAGGAAATAGGCCGCACAGTTGGGGTCGCTAGTGACCAGTCCCAGTGACAAGGAAAATTCGCTGCCAGTAGTGAAGATCGTGGGGATAGTTGAGGGCCGTGCAAGAAGCTCATTCTCTTCTACGTTGGCGGTGACGAACCGGGCCATATTGAAATGAAAGATCGCCGGTCATGACGATTAGCGGAACGTGGGAAGATTGGGGATTGTTTATGATTCGTAGCATTTTGTGGGGATCCGGAGGAACGAACTAAAATGAGGTAGAGTATGTTAGTGTGTAGGTACTTCGTGCAAAAAAGCCTTTTTTTGAGGAATGCAACGTTGGAGTTGAGAAGGGCATACCGTTAGGGGCGAAACAGTATGTTCTCGAGAACTGCCATAAAGTGTAAGGTGAACACGAAGTATATTCTTCAATCACGAGGCCAACCTCTTTGTAGGATAGAGCAGAGACATCGCATCTCTTCCCATTAATATTCCACCCCTGTCACACCCGATTATAACCTTGTCTTTTTATCTGTTTGTAGGGTTGTACCACATTTCTCAAGTCCTAGTTTGGAAAATCGTCAACAATATCGACCCCCGCCTTTCTGATGCTTTTGTTTATTACCCCCAATGTTCTCAAGTTGCACCGCACGCGCCCGATGCTCAAGGACAGTAAGGTTACACCTAATCGCACCCTGGATAGAAAAGGCGCCATCTTTTTGTATCAACTGCTGTGTTTCGTAATCTTCTTATGCCGCCTGGTTTCTACTCCCTGCAGCAGCTGTTGGTTTTAACCGTCAGTTCTAAAGCAATCAATAGTAAAAATTCTTTGGGTTTCTAATTCAAACAGCCATTAAACCCTGAAGAACCAATATTATTATTGATAAGAAAACGAGGGTGATTGGGACCCTGGCCTGGTACATGGTACACGGTATCCATTGGCATGGGAACTGAAAAATTAATCATTTGCAACCATTTCAAAACAACAATAAACATAATATTCTCTTTTTCGATCGATTTCGCGCAGGATTTCAAAGCGGCACGTTGCAATGAAAAGATTTTAGATGGGAGTTGTTGTCTTCGGGCAGTATTAATGAGAAGAAACAGGAATGTATGCTAATAAGCATACAGAAGTGGGATTCTCTGCAGTTCCTTGCATATCCTTGATGCTGCCTCGAGTTGTGGGGAATCTCTGAGTAGGTAGAACACCTACCTACGCCGAGTTTGAGTGGGGTGCAGGTATGTGTGATATTCAATTATGGCAGAGCTTAGAGCATGGATTGCTTGCTACCAGTAACCAGAGGTGCCGCAAGGAGAAGGGTCCTGTTGTGTCAGATAGTTAGGTACAGGATTACTCTATCAGCCCCAGGGTCATGACGACAGGGTGTCCAGAAGGACGTGCACCTTCTTTCACTCTCCTACTTCGGGGGGCATCTCCCGCCCATCTACTTCTCCATGAGGCTACATACGT